CACAAACTAACAAGTAGAAATCACTTCCTCCTCCATTGACTGATTTCCTCAGATATTCTAGAGCATGAAATGAGAATGAAAATGAGAATTTAAAATTAAGCCAAAGGATGTTGCTCTAATTATAGCATCTATTGAATGAAAAATTTAAAATAACTGCTGCATTGAATTCCCATGAAGACACGCTCATGACTTGTCTCCTTTCAGAGTTCTTTAATGTTCTCTAATTGCATTTACTGATTAACCATTTTCATCCACTGCCTGAAAACAAAAAAACTGAAAAATACCCTTTTAACATGATTTAAAAAGCCAGCTCTCTTAAATAATGAAAATATTGTTATTTATTAAGATCACATGTTTTTTGATAAAGTAGCCTGTAAATGGGGCGCTGAAAATTGACCCAGCCCATGTATGTTGGACCTGTCGGCTTGATTTCCCTGTCAGTTATGAGCTTGCCTTTAACTAAATGTAATGTGCAGGAGACAGGTGATGGCTGCAAGACGTGTTAACCACTTCCTGTCTAGGAGGCTTTTATTTATTTCTTCCTATTCATGAACAAATAACAAAAAGGCACAATAAAATAATCATGTCTCTGCACCTAAAGCTGCCAGTCACGTTGATGAAATTGATTAAACACCCTAAAAATACTTTTACAATCACTTTGAAGTTTGCAACAAAAACAAGTCACGAAACAGCAAAGCAACCAAGTTTTCCATTATAGCTTTATTCGTTTTAAACTCATAAACGTGCTGGAAAGTTAGTACATGGCTGGATCTGTCAGGTGTGTGGGCAGTCAGACCTCCAGCCACTGCAGCAACGGTTCTACTTCGAGGTTCCCATCGGAGGAGACGCTCACTTCCTGAACGGAGGGATCGGAGAAGGGATCTTTATATCCTGCCCTCTCTCCAGCCTCTTCTCACATTCAATGAGGTAGTTCACACCATCAATCACTAACTGGACCAGCTCGACCTGTGGATGAAACCAAAGCAGCTAGACGTAAAGAACAATGTTTAACGGCTTTGTTAGGAATCGCATTTGCATTTTTTTTGCAGCATTTATGTTCTCCATCAAGCAAAATGAAACATATAGACTTCTAAACTCTTTCAAACACACTTCATGAACATTGTTAAACAACTGTAGTTAAAAGTTGAATATGGAACATGAACACCAAAGCGACATCTAGTGTGTGGAGGTTGTAGTTGCAACTATTAAACACGGTTTCCAGATGGGATGTCAGGTTCAATGCATGAAATTTTTAATTTGTGTCACGAACAGAACTTCAGAAGACCCGTGAAGACGCCAAACACAGTAAAAGTAGATCAAAAGTCTTTTGTTTGATGCGGAGTTACCAGAGGTGGGCGAGGCTGGAGACAGAGTCGAAGAGGAGGCGAGGGTCAAAATCAGATCGCACATGCAGAAACAGGGAACAGGCAGGAGACGGGGTAGAGGACAGGCGAAGGTCGTGGTGGCAGGCAGAGTACAAGGCAGGGGTCAGGAGGAGAAACGAGGTCAGGAGGGTGAGATCAGGCAGGGTGAATGGCTGCAAGATTTACTGGCAAGAAGCTTTCAATAATCTGGCCGTGAACTGGTGGCTGGCTGGTGAATATATAGCAGGGGAAGCAGGTGTGTGTGATGAGCTGAGGAGTCAGGAGCAGGTGAAGTGGATGAAGCTGATTGTGGTTGCCAGGGAAACAGGGCTTGTAAGGAGCTTGATGAGGGGACCAGGTGTGTAGCATGAAGGCTAAATGAAGAGGCAGAGGAGGGCGAAGGATAGGGAGTCATGACAATTTGGGTCCATCTGTTGTAGACGTCACCTCAACTCTCTCTGGTTTTAGATCTTTTATGGTCACTCCTCTTCTGAGAAGAACAGTGACATCTTCTGGTGTCAGAAGCAGCTTGACCTGCAGAGTCCGCCATTTTCCACAGGGCCACGAGCGGACTGTTTGGAAACTTGCAACGGTGCCCTCTACTGGCTGGTAGATGTAAACATAAACCCAGTGGGGTGCTTGTCAAAATAAATATTTGATGATTTTTTAACTAAAATATAGCTTTTAAAGGAAATACTGTACCTTCATTCTGCACACCCCGTGGAGGTATTCATTTAATTATATAGCATTTAATGAAATGGCTCCGTATACAACCATTCATCTTTCCTGCACACTAAAAAAGCCAGCAACAACAGAGCCCAATGAGTTTTGTGTTGTGATTTTTCTCAGGAGTTTTAGCTTATTTTTCAAATTTGATTCGTACTTTTGAAAATTCAGATCTGAAGAAGGATAAACAGAAAAGTCAGCGTGCTACTGTTTAGATGACTGGGACTTTACTTGTTTTTATATACATGTTTCTAGCACCAGATGCCTGCATCATGCGTGAAATGTCATAAGCCTTTAACGAAATGATTAGCTGTGTTGTTCATGCATTATGTGACTTTCACCTACATTTTGATGTCTGTTTCTATTGAACTAAACTAGATCATTTAGACTTTTTATTCAAACAAAGGTTATCTAAAACCCTGACCTTTACTGGCCTCCAAACACACCCACATCACCCCGCTTCTCCTCCAGCTTCACTGGCTGCCAGTCAACTTCAGGGTTCATTTCAAGATCCTGGTTCTGGTCTATAGGGCCTTACATGGACAAGCACCATCTTACATTGGTGATCTTCTTAGTCCCTACACCCCCAGCAGGTCCCTGAGGTCCAGTGTTCAAAGCCTACTGGTTGTGCAGCACCAGGCTAAAGGTCAAAGGTGACAGATCATCTGCTGCTGTGTCCCCCAGACTCTGGACCTCTCTCCCCCTGAGCCTGAGATCAGTGGACTCAGTGGTCTCCTTTAAAAAGCAGCTGAAGACTCACTTGTTCAAGCTGGCTTTTGTATGACCTTCTTCACCTCTCTCTCTTTATTCTGCTCTCCCCACCTATTCCACCTTCCTCAGGATCCACTGATTTCCCTCTTTCCTGTTCGCTCTCTCTCTCTTTCTTAACATTTTTAATCACAATTGTCTATTTTTTGCTCATTTTAAATATATTTTGAAACATTTTCGAAATGCTTTTTATATTTTTACAATTTTTATATTTTTTGTTTTTGTGAAGCGCCTCGTGATTTTTATCTTGAGAGGCGCCATAGAAATTATATTTTCTTCTTCTTCTTTAACATTTCTGATAGTATTTGATGCACTTCCTGTCTGGAGGTTGTCCACATGAGACACCGGTCTTTATTCTGAAGTGGCTCCTTCTTGACAGGATTGCAGATTAAGGAGCAGTAAGATCTGCAGCACGTGATCTCCTCCTCTTGACTTCTATCTGTTCCTGCTGCTGCTTTATTCTATCTGTTACCCGTTTAATTTACCTCTGACTTGCCCAGACGATCGAGGTTAGATATGTCTACGGTGTCTCCTGTTGCAGCAGTGTCAACTCCTCCGGTGCCTCTCTTCTGAAGTCTCAGGTTCTCCAGGATCTTCTTGAAGCGGGGATCCTACATCATAACCATGATGTTTCCGGTTATTAACAGGTAAGCAGCCAGTAGCAGACGTGTCTGCACTTTCTGTTTAGTGTAACTCCTGTCGGACCTTGTTGAGGAAGGGCAAGCGGATGTGCACGCCAGCTCTGAGCCCCGTGCCCAGGTTAGAGGGGCAGGTCAGGATGTAACCCAGACGCTCGTTCCACATGAACTCCCATCCTCTCTCCTGAATCAGATGCTCCACCTGCAGGTTCAAATGAATAACTGCTGTTCACTTTCATTTGAATCTAGACATTCATTGAGCTTTTTAATCAGGTGGAGGCAGATGAATATGAGGATGCACGCACACCTGTTTGAGACCTTTGCAGAAGCGCTCAAACACTCTCTTCATGTTTCCTCCTTTCTCCATCGAAATGACCCTCGTGTGGTCCTCCTCATTGATCCAGATCAGAAAGTTCTTCTCGTGGTTGTGCCTGGATCAGACAGGAAGGTTAAAACCTTAGGTTTCGGTTAGGGGTTGTATCAACTAGTCGACTAGTCGACTTCACTGCTCTGTAGTGACTTTTTATGCCTTTCATCGACTAGTCGCTGTCACGTGTTAATCACCGACAAGAGGCAGTCCTCGGAAAAGACAGCAGGTGGCGAGCCCCTGCGCGTCGGGAGCAGACACGCTGTGTCAGAGCGTCAGTAGTTGACGCCAACCATAAAACGGACATTTAACCAAATTGTGACCTTTACCCTCTTGCAATTTAACCTTCCCCTCACCCCCATCCTAACCTTAACCAGCTTGTGCATGCAAAGCTCTGATCGTTGACGCGCTCCAGACATCTGCGTCCTGAGCACGGCCACAGTAACATTATCAAATCAGGTGTCGCCACCTCAAAAACATTTTTAACACGCGATGGTTCTTGTCGGCTCATTTCCTCTTATGTTTTCTGTCTTTTATTTGTGCCTGATGCGTTTCGCTGCTGTGGATTGGGGCGCATCACCTGTTTTGTCCTCGGTGACGCACCGATCACTGATGCGGCCGCCAAGCAGCGAGCACTCCGCTGTTTTTGCGGTCGGTAGATCTTTTAGAACTGCAGTTCAAAGGTAACTCATGAGGTGAATATATATGAACCCAGGTAGCAGTTTTTCTTTAGGACTGAGAGGAGATGCAGGAAGATAATAAACAGGCAGGACAGAAAAATAGTCAAATAAAAACAAGTTTGTTTTTGTACCTGCTGGTTGCAACAAACAGACACCACTGAAGGTAATCAGAAGTGAGGAACAGAAAATGAAATTATTGTTTTAATGTTTAGAGCAGCAGGAACTCCGAGAGGCTGCAGGTGCATCAGTGAGTTTGCGGCCGCTGCGCGGGGGAGGGGGGAGGGCTGAAGCAGAAACTACTGTTGTTAAAAGAGGCGCGTTCAACTTAGAAAATGTGGGCGCATTTTTAACTGTCAAAAACTCCAGTGAACCAACCGAACCCCACCCCCACCCCCCGTGTGTCGGAAAAAAACGCTTGGTCACCCATCGTCAGTGTTAGCCGCTTCAGGTGTATGACATCATCAACGACTTTCATTACTTGACGGTCGACTTTAAAGAGTAAGTCACCCCCAAATCAACTTTTTTTCTGATAAACTATATAAATGCGTGTCTAATCGTGCTGCAGACACGTGTAGTCAATAGTTTAGCACTTTAGTGCCTTTTTGTTTTAAAAAAATCTTCTGCCTAAAACTGTCAGTGTTGTGCCGTTGTCAGGTAAAAACTCTGCACTGCATTTGAATTTAAATCTGCCATCGCTATTGGCTAAGAGGTACCCTAGAACGTTAGCTGGTACCATATGATGTCACAATGTTGTTGTGAGCCTGTGTGTGTGTGTATTTGTTAGCAGCTCCGCCCTCTCGGCCTGCTAGGCAACAGCATTTGTTGCATTTTTCAAACAGGAAGCGGGAGTGGAGTAATACTCTGGTAGGGGGTGACTTGCTCTTTAAAAAAATTAAGTCATGCAGCCCCTAGGTCCAGTACTAGACTGGATTCCGAGTCAGTGACTGGAGTGAATTGGACTGAATCGGATTGCGTGTAGTTGGATTTGAGCTGGACACGTTTGCTTCTACCCTGAAATTACTTTTGCTCTGAATTTGTTTCAGACAACTGCAGATAAAAAAAGAAAATATAGAATTTAATTACCCAAATGATTCTGAAGAGGTTGAGTATTTAAAATCCAGTAAAAAAACAAATTAAATAAAAAAACTAAGTGAATTATCTCAATTGGAGTGTTCTTCTGAGCTCATTTCTTTGTTTTTAAGCCCCGGAGCAGCGTGGAAACTGGGTTCTGTACATTATTCATTTATAGAAGAATACTTTTATTCTAAATAAGCTGTGCAGTCGACAGTATAATCAGAACTCCATATAAAAGTTGTAACTCTGTATGTCTGTATAAAGCTTGTAAATGATCACATTTATTGTGCGTATGCATGTAGGAGTTCTGGGAACCACTGATCAGAGAATAAAATGAAATAAAACATACTTAAGATTTCATAAAAGCTCATGAAGATCTTCATTCCTACCAAATCCCACGAGCGTCGGGCCAATCTCTGGCCATCCCAGCCGCCGTGAGCAGAGGTGAGACAGGTTTATCAAACAGGAAGTGCTCCTGATTGGCCAGTAAGAGAGGAACAGAGGAATCAGTGGGAATGTTGGACAGCAAATGCAACCAGCTTTGCCTTTTTTGTGTTTACACTGACATCAATGAGATGCTGCTGCTCCCTGTCACTCATCTCTCCCAGGCTGTAGTATCGACCAGCCAGGTCTCCCTTCAGGCCCGAGAGAGCAGTCACCACAACGCGCTCCACCTCACGGCGCTCAGACCGAGTGCACGCGGGAGGCAGACTCAGTCCACGGATGCTGCGACCGGTGCGCACACGGGAGGACAACACGTAGCGCTCATCGAATATTCCCGAGGTGATCTGAGGAGGAGAAAGCTTTAGATGACTTTTACAAACAGTGAGATGGAAGTACTAATAGATCAGTTTGGTTCGCCACCTTGGAGGAATCCAGATCAGTGGGGTGCTTCATTGTGCGAGGATCATATCCATTGTGTCTGTCCTTGATAACAGGGTCAAAGAGCTCAGCAAACACCTGATGGAGAAAGGTCAGGAGGTCAGTTTGTGCAAGATTTATTAGGAATAGACCAAAAATGAATTCTAACCTCGTAGCTCTCCTCATCTCCAGCCACCATGCCCACAGTCTTAATGAAGGGGTGTCCTGGGTTGTCCACGCCAGTCTGGATGCACTGGTCCAGGGTCCAGTTGTTGGGTGTTGCCTTGTCACTCAGACGTGCATAAATGGATGGAGTCAAGGCTGAGGCCATGCAGTTGTTGTGCTTCCTCACATCAGGGTAATCGGCACTATAGAAAGTTACCGAAATGCATCGTGGCTTTAAACCATTTAGACGATGATTTAATGTGTTTCTATAATTTACAAATGGCAACGTAGGGCAGATGCAGGCCTCGCTTGAGTAAGACTCAGTTTATTTGGTAACAAAAAGCTTTTCTTCACGCGGAAGGTTTTAAAAACCACGGATCCACTGTACCTGTGGGGGAAATACCTCCTCCTTATCTCAGCAGCAGCAGCAGTGCTGTCAGTCAGGAGATATGCAGATGCCAGCGTGCCGGCTCCCATGGCCATCATAACCGCCGTGTTACGACCGGAAATCATGCGAGTGAAAGAAGACGCCATGATCAAGTGGCTTAGTTGTTGCCTAGTAAAAGGTCAAAAGGTTAATAGTTACTCCTCCTAATTTACAACACAGTCAAATGACAGCAGCCTGCCCATCCATTTCAATTACCTCACAAAGTTACATCTTCAGTCATTTAATGAAATTTAAATTTTGTATTTAAATAGTTATGTTTATGTATTTAGCAGACGCTTTTGTCCAAAGCGACTTACAAGTGATAATCGGCATGTTGCCCTTGAGGCTAACAACAACAACAATAACAACAACTTGACATCAGTCATGGAGAGGAGGGAACAAGGAGCGGACGGTAGAGAGGGGGGACGGGTGCAGGGAGGGTGCTAGTTAAGAAGATGCTCTCTGAAGAGCAGGGTCTTCAGGAGTTTCTTGAAAATTGAAAAGGAAGCCGCTGTTCTGGTAGTGCTTGGAAGGTCATTCCACATTTATGGAACGATGCATGAGAAGAGTCTGGATTGTCCTGAGCGTGGTGTAGGCACTGCTAGCTGACGATCCTGTGATGACCGGAGCGGCCGGGCCGAGACGTAAGCCTTTGCAAGAGGATTCAGGTAGATGGGAGCCGTACCATCTCGGACTTTGTATGCTAGTGTTAGCAATTTGAATTTGATGCGTGCTGCTAGCGGTAGCCAGTGGAGCTCAATGAACAGAGGGGTGACGTGTGCTCTTTTTGGCTGGTTGAAGACCAGACACGCCACTGCATTCTGGACCATCTGAAGAGGTCTCACAGTACAGGCTGGAAGACCAGTTAGAAGGGCGTTGCAGTAATCGAGGCGGGAGATGACAGTAGATTGCACCAGGAGCTGGGTGGCATGTTGTGTTGGGCATGGTCTGATCTTTCGTACGTTATACAGCGCAAAGCGGCATGAACGAGCAACAGAGGCAACATGATCTTTAAAGGTCAGGTGTTCATCAATCACAGCACCCAGATTTCGAACTGCCTTTGAACGAGCCAGAGATAGGAAGTCATTTTGGATTGAGATAGTTGTATTAATAGTATATTTTCTTATATGTGTCTTAAAAATATTTAAGTGATCGTGTTTGTTTTTAGTACTTTGTAAACTCTAACAAATAACATGTTGAATTGACCTAACCAAGTCTTGTGGTTCCACTATGATTAAAGGTGCATGAAGTAAGATGACATCCTGTGGCCAAAATTGGGTACTGCAGTCAATGTTTCAAAAGAAAGGAGTCCATTTGGTGCAGTTGTTGCCAGTTACGGATCAGAACCAGAACATTCAAGATGAGCGAAGACGAGTTACACAGTAAGTTCAATTCAATTCAATTCAATAAAAAAAAACTTTAATAATCCCAGAGGGGCAATTGTTTCGGTACAGAAGAATTGGTACTGTGGTCATTCGCAACAAGAGTTGCGCTACCGTTAATTAGATGAAAAGGGGATCATATGAGGATAAATTGGGGGAGGGAAAAAAAGGCATACCAGAGTTACTCCCGGCAGGGCGTAGCTTTACTATGCAAAAAAACGCCTCAAACATATAAGCACGAACGTCAACAGTTCACAACATGAGACACCGATAGGAAGGCAGGGGGGGGGGGGGGGGGGGGGGGATCCTGTTTCCCCAGCGAGAGCAGCCCTGTGGCGTTCAGCCACTGTAGCCACATGTGGGAGGGAGATCTTGGGAGGAGCGCAAGCACATTAACACCTGCAGGTTGATGACCTCCAAAGGCTGAAGTCCACCAATCCGAAGGCGGGGGGGGGGGGGGGGGGGGGGGGGGGTCGGGTTTTCAAAGCATCTGTCTGCATTCCTTTGTCGGGGGTTTGTTGTTGGCATTCACAGATTCGGATAACAAGACTTTGTTTGTTTCAGGCAGAGATAATTTTCCTCTCTGCCTTGAAGTCTGTAACTGATCGTTCAAGTACTCCAGTGAAGCCAATTCAGGTTTTAAACATCTCCACACCGTCCAGTGACCCTCTCTGAGATGACATCCATTTTGCGCACTAATACCGGTATCGCAGCCAGAACATTGTCCAGCTTACGATTCACCTCGAGTAGCGTCCCAGTCTGTGAGGTCTCCACACGGACGGTGCTTTCCGTGGGTGCGGGACGCCCTCCAATCGCTCCCGTCTTCCCAAATTTCCAGAAAACCAGATATCCTCCCACTCCAATCAGAAGAAATCCAGTGATCATCAGACCAAACATCCACACATCTTCAACATCCTCAATGGACAACTGAGAGAGGCATACGATCTTCCACTCCCTCCAGGAATCGAGCAAATATCCCGCTGCGTGTGTCCCTTGCGGGCAAGTGGGAGCCCCCTGCTCTATTCTCATTGTTGAAAAAATCTTGTCAATCGCGTTGAATGACCAGTTAATTAAATCCACTCTAAAACATAGGGTTTTTCAGAAGAAATGCAGAGAAGCGCTCTGTGGGCAGACAGGACAAAGAGCCTTGGGAAAAAAAGATAAGGGAGCAAAAGCAGAAGCGTCTGTACTCTGCGAGTGCTGCAAGAAGTTGATAAGTAAATCAATACAATATTATTGAGTTATTGATAATTGAAAAACGTAGCTTGAAATATTTTTAGACAACTTTTTTTTTCAAAATCATCATTAGCATTGTTAGCTCAATGTTAGCCTCTAGATGTCGTAGCTTCTCACGAGTATACAGTACAAGAAATAACTTCTGGGTCGCTCCTTTTACTGGCATCCATTCTACAACTCTAGTTCTTTTTGTTAGTTGGCGCCAGATTGCAAATGCTGGTGCAGCAATGTTTGCATTGAAGACTTGGCAATCTTGTGGGCTCCCATGTTATTGGCTCTAGAACCAGGAAGTATGGAGGCGGGACAAAATGTAAACAAAGATAATGTCTTTTAGCCTTTTTAGAAGGAGAACAACTGTTAACCACAGCCAACTGAGAAGGAAATGTGTTTCTAACATGATTAGAATATTTTGGGATTATTTTACTGTAACATTCTTATTTGTTGCACATTTAAATGTCAAGTGAAAAAGACATTGTAAATTCAACATTTTGTTTCTTAGAGTGAAGTAATCTGACGTTATTTTAACAACACGTTTACCAGAATCCTGCATGAAAGTGATCCGTGATAGATAATAATAACAAGGCCAAAGGTGAAAAGAAAACACACAACACTGCCGTGGTCTTTGGAAAGCTTTATGCACAACTGTGTATTTCAGTGCGAACCCTTGCAGCACTATGAATTGGCCTTTTGGTAAAACATCTTTAGCTTCTTCGTAGTTTTCAAAACTAAGCAAAACCAAAATAACTGATAATATCTAATAATAATTTCTGTGTGATGTCAACATTAACTGCAATAACCGGCCAGTTTGCAGTGTAACACAATCATGCTTCGAATATCTTTTGCCTTTTCTTTTTCGGTCAGAGACAAAACCATTAATTGCATTAAGCTATCAGATGCTTAAGCGACCGCTGCTACTCCTCCAGACTGTGGATGAGATTATTCCTGAAGCAGACTGAAGCCTTCTGATTGGTCCCCCAGATAGTCCCTTGCTCAGGTGATCAAATGATTCCTGATTGGTTGCTGAAAGAATCTTATTCCCTTTTAACCCTTAAAATAACTAAAAAGTTGGAAATAATGACCTCAAGCAAATAAAGTTGTTTGTATTTTTTTAGTCTGTTTTAGTTTTGAAATTTAAATTAAAATGGATTAAAAAACAGCGGTTCAATTTCATGTCAGAAAGCCAATTTCACAAATAAAATATGAAGAGTTTCTCTAATCAAATGTATCGGATTTTTCTCTGAAAATGAACCCCGCTGTTACTATTTAGAGAAAATGTAGCTCCGGATTAGGGCTGCTATCAGCCATGGAGAGGACGTACTGAGGTGGTCAGATGCAAACGAGGCTGGAAGAAAACAGAAACAGTAAGCAGGCAGGTGGTGAGGAGGAGTCAGACAGCGGAGGCAGGGTAAAGGATACTGTTCATGAAGAAATATGAGACTGAGCAACATTCTGGAGGAAATAAAACAAACGGATGAGTCTAAAGAGGAATAAAGGTGCGGAGCAAATAGTAAATATCTGCATGATGACATAAACGTTCTGGTAGATGTCTGAGGGTCTGAATCAAGAGTGTCAAGAGTCACGTAAAGGTCAAGAGAAGGAGGGAAAAGGGCCCTTTAAAGAGATCGTAAAACCTGGGATTAGTTGGGATTTCCATCAGACACCTAGAGATTATCTGAGAAGGGGAATGAAAATGGACAGACACCTTTACCCTATTACCCTAGTTTTTGTGTAGGGACGCTGATGGAGGTTATATTTCAGGCAGCCGACTGAAAGAGTTTAGTCTGTTGCTGGCTGGATTCAAGTTGTTGAATAAAGTTTGATTTCTTCCAAAGGAGTTTAAAATGCTGCTCTTTCCTAAAGATGTTTGCAACACATCGGGCTGGAAATGCAGATTTCTGAGGTTAAGGCTTCATCGCTTACCTGAGGATGCTTAGAGAGAAGAGCCTGAGAGTTTCCTGCAGCTCAGTCCAGAGACGATGATCTGCAAAGTGAGTGTAGTCTGAAGAACGGGGAGAGGATCAGGCAGAGGCTGGATCAGGATTAGCCTCTCACAGGCCAACAGACGGAAAATCCTCTTTTCCTTATCAGTCACAATGTCTGCCTGCTTCTTCCTCTTCCCTCTACTTTTTATTTCTGAAAACTTGTCGAGTTGTCACCAATCCACACAAGGATTCCCAACTTTTCTGGCAGATTTGGTCTTTGGTCATCCGTTCAACTATAGCTCAGACAACATATTTAAAGTCATCCCATTCATTGAGTCATTTAATGGTTACACTTGACTTTAATCCCAAAATGGCCATTTTTGAAGATAAAATATGGAAAATCATTGTAATCTTCAATGTAAATTGACAAGAAATATATATGTATATATATATATATATATATATATATATATATATATATATATATATATATATATATATATATATATATGTATACTGACGGAGGTGAGGCTGCCAAGTACTGGTACCACCAGTCCCTCTGACCACCATCAGCAGGTGGCAAGGAGGGGTTAAGTGTCTTGCCGAAGGACACAATAACAGTGACAAATTGACTCGAACCTGCAACCTTTCAATTACAGTGCGAGCACTTAACTCCTGTACCACCATCGCCCCACACAGAAACACACACACAGGCTCACTATGACATTGTGACTTCAAAATGTACCAGCTAATGCCATAGGGCAACTATTAGCCATTAGCAATGACGGATTTGAATTCAAATGAGTTTTTACCTGAAGACGGCGCAACACTGACAGTTTTAGGCAGAATATTTAATGAACTAAAGTCCCAAATGATTGACTACACATGTCTACAGCATAATTAGACACTCATTTATACAGTTTATCAGCAAAAAAAAAAACCCCCCGTTGATTTGGGGGTGACTTGCTCTTTAAAAAATAGAATTTCCACTAAGAAATTGTGATGTATGGAGCTATAGAAACACAACTTATAAATGTGTGTGTGTGTGTGTGTGTGTGTGTGTGTGCTCTGTCATCTCAAACCCCTGTGAGTCGTGGCGGATGGCTGCTCATACTGAGCTGTGATCCTCCGATGGTGACTTCCTGTTAAAGGGGAGTTTTCCTCTCCAGTGTCGCTACATGCTTGATCAGTATGAGGTTTGCTGTAAAGTGACTGGCACAATCTGCTGGGTTCTTAAATAGGAAACCTTTTACTGATTGGCTTAATGAACTGAACTCAGTTGGAATGTGAAGTGTCTTGAGACAACACTTGTCGTGATTTGGCACTTTATAAAAAAATGAACTGATATGCTGTAGATTCTAAACACTCTTTTCTACAGAACACCACAGTAACCTTTTCTTCTTCCGGCTCTCGGAGGGTGCAGACGCTTTTTTCCTCCTCTCCTCCATATCTTATCCTCAAGGCCTTTGTCTGTCTGTGTGTGCTGGGTGCACGGCTGCTTCTGCATTTTTTCTGGAAACTGAAATTCACTAAAATGGATCTCGTCAGAAGGTCTCTCAACGCGATTGATAAAAAATTTTAAACGATGAGAACGGGAGAAGGAGCTCCCGGATGCCCCGCCGGGACAGACCCAGTTGGACACATCATGGACTCCTGGAAACAGCGGAACTTGATTTGTTTATCTCAGCTGTCTGTGGAGGACTCTGAAGACGTGTGGATATTCGTGGTGTTGGTGTCAGGTTTCCTGCTCATTGGCCTTGGAGGCTTCCTGGCTTACCGGCAAATTAACGAGCTGTCGAGGAATATTGGCCTGATCCCGGAGCTCAGAGATGGTTTGCACCTCGCTGTGAATTCACAGACTCACATAATTGTCGAGATGAATCGTAAGCTTGGGACTTTGGCCGAGATTCATTATTGGCACAAAAGATGGATGCCATCAAGGATAAAGTGGACGAATCAGCACGGATTGGGATAGATTAATGTCCATTATTGGGATTTTGAGAGGCTGAGGACCAACAAACTGTAAGACAGAGAGGAAATTATCTCTGTTTGGCCCCAAAACAATTTCTAATCTGAATCTGGCGTCCTTGAGCCTGCGAGGCTCCAACGAAAACTCCCCCCTCAGAAGATATGTGGAATGTGCCGTCGCTATGGCAACTCAACTCTGTCTCCTTTCCCAGCCTGGGCGGGACAGCGGGAAGGCAGCTGAAACGTTCCAGGGTCACTGCAACCCTCCAACCCTCAATGCTCCTCCCCCTATCCACACTGAGGCGACATGCGCTGCTTATCGTGGCTGCAGGAACTGAAGTGGGGATAGTCCCAACCCACCACCCCACCTAGTGGACACTTATGTTGTGTTGTCTGAAGTCTGTTGCATATCTGTCAGAGGTGTTTTTTTGCAGAGCAAAGCTGCCCTCCTGGTGGAGGGTAACTCTGAAGTGCCCTTTTTTCCCTCCACCTGAACCAATCCTCATGTAACCCTCTGATCTCTATTAAGGTAGCGCGACTCAGGGTTGCGAATGACCACAGTCACCAATTCTTGTCATGTGTCTTGCCCATGTATGTCTGGTCTCTGAATTGTGTGTACTGAAACTCTTAATTTCCCTCTGGGATTAATAAAGTATCTTTGATTTTGATTGATTGATTTTGAGTAATTCAAATTGATGCACATTCTTTTCAAATATAAGGAAAATCCACATAAGGCATACTGCATATTTATTTCCCCTGCACCCACAATGAAAAATATGTAAACAGACAAAGTAACATAGAAACATTTACACATAAAGAATATTACAGTACAAACGTAGTAATCTGAATTACAGAGAGGGGGCAGGGGTTTTCTCGAAAATAAAACTCCTTTTCAGCTGATGTGGAATAAATTTCTTTTTTTTCTGTTTCTTAAAGTGACGAAAGCTGCAACACACCACTGCTCAACAGGCTCTTTGCTGATGACATCATCTCAAGACTGACTGACATACGAGGTGCACTAAGAGATGAACATGAACAAAATATTGTTGCTTTTTCCCCAGTAGCTACAGAGACATTAAGCAGAGGATATAGAAGAATCCAGTCAGACATGCACAACATGCAGCTGCTGTGTGCATGCAAATATATTTAGTTTGTCCTCGATGTGGAAAACAAGATCCGACTATTCAAATGCTACATTGGTTCTCCAACCTTCAAAAGATTTTTTTAAAGAATAAAACTAAACACTTTATTTCTGTAAGAAACCCAGGGATGCAAAACGAATTCAACGTAAACACCAAAGAGACAAAATTAATTAAAATAAATAAAACAGCAATAAAAAATAGTATTCACAGCGTGGTCATTTCTTCATTACTTTTCATTCATTATATACAAAAATAACATAAATACAGAGCTTATTGTTGTAAATAAATTATTAGAAGATGTAGCAACGATCACATTGTTAATCAAGCAAAGCTCCAGAGTGCAAAAAGCTGTCCCGGTCTAAACCGCGGTCAGGCCAGCGAAGCCTGGTACAGCTGACCACGGACGTAATTTTCACTTTAGAAGTGGTTAGAAGTGGGGGGGACACCGGGGGGGGGGGGGGGGGGGTATCTTTACAGTATGCTCTAATGGGAAACCGGCTTCAACACAAACTGTTGTTTTCCGCTTGGTCCTAGAGCTCAACCAGTGTCAATTTAATATAGCGTAATATTGTTTTTGGATGGTAAAAAGTGCAGGGCTCAAAACTTGACTTTGGAAGGGGGGGGGGGGGGGCATGTCTCCCCCCCACAAAAAAAATTACGTCCATGCAGCTGACAGTTTACAGAAGCCAAAACAATCAAACTGCACACAAATGCTGCTAAAGCTTTGGGTTTTTACCACATTGAAACAGCAGAGGGAGATGTTTGCTCGTGTTTCAACATTGCATTCACTAGTTTACACCAACATGCTACAGTACCAGTCAGTGCACCATTCATTTTCTGGGGGGAAAGCAAACAAAAATTTCTTTTGGAGGAGTTTTTTTTAAAAGTTAAACAATATGCAAATTAGTCAATCATGGGAAACTGACCTACACTAGTGGAAGGCACTGGACATATATTCAAATTTGATATCATTCGTGTGGACGGTGGTTAAAAAAATACTTTTTCATCAGCAGAAGCCTGAAGCTAACATCTGACTAAAGAAAAAACTATAGAATACAAATCCTGACTGGGGGGAATCCAACATTTTTGTCAGTTAAATCTAAATTTGAGTTTAGTTCTTGTTTTGTTTTGGGTTTTTTTTTTCAGCGTCGTGTTTAAAGAACACTAGCGCTTCATCAGACCTGGCCCATTGGGGATGCATAGTAGCTAAAAGGGTCACCCTGCTTAGAGCGATGCAGGAAACACTTAAAGGTCATGGGTCAAGAATTAAGGATGTGCAGACAGTTACAGCCTGAGCTGAAATCATGCAAGCTGACACCAGTGAGTCAAATCATTGGGGAAGGGGGGGGGGGGGGGGGGGGGGCAAGAACAAACACACACACACACACACGAGCTCTGACATCTCTCTGCCACACTTCCTGTAACTGCTACATCTCTGATATTTTCACCGACTCACATCCACTTTCTCTGAGCCCTCTTCCTTCTCTGCTCTCTCACGCTGTCTGAGGAAGAGTGATGTAATGCGCACCGCGCGCTTCACTGAGGAACGACGAGCACAAACAGCAACAAGTAATTTCCTCAAAGTCTTTCAGGATAGACATCCAGCGAGCTCTCATCCTGTTCCGCTTGAAAACACCCAGTCCTTCAACTTTCAAGCTCTCTTCTTTCGCTGCTTCAGCATCCTGTAAAGGTTTCTCATTTTACACCGCTTTCTGTTTCTCAAAGCCTCTCTCTCTCTCTTGAATTCTCTCTATCGACTGATGAGACGGCGTGGGTGTGTCACCCTCGGAGGTTTGGCAGGCTCCTACAGAGCACAAGCAGCTCTGATTCAGGCGGGAAGCCTGGGCTCGATCTTCAGTGAGAGATCGTAAAGAGTGTCCTCATCCATGGTCAGAGTCTTGTCCAGGAGGTACTGAGTCACCTGGGTCATGAATATAAATCAAAAAGACAGTCAAATTATAGCTGAGAACATTATATTGTTATATTGTCAGCAGGTCTGCAATTGGACCAGTTTTGTGTCTCTCTGTTTTTGTTGGGCAGTGCTTAACACTACAGCTACAACAGAGAAAAACTACAAATATGGTGTTGGCTCAGGAACAGCGCTCATTTAAAATGGCTTTGGTGTAAACTTGGAACGGTTCTGAGTTGAGCCTGACACGTTGCGTTTGGAGACAGTTCGAAAGCTGACGGTGGATTCCTGGACCGGATGGTTTCAATGACATCTAGCCAGACTTTACGTTTACATATAAAAGACAGCTTGCCTGGATAATGGTTTCTAGTATGAATGAATGTCATGTGAGTCGTTCTCTGTGGGAAAACAGCTCTGGCACTCCTGTTTCAGGAAGTAGAAGTTAGACAGCACTTGGAGTTTTATTTCCTGATATTTGGACATCTCGTCTCTGATTGGCTAACAGCAACACAACTTTTCTACCGACTCCATTCGCTGTGCAACTTCGACGTTTTACCTCCACAAATAACAAAAGCCTGAAGGAGTTCTGCCATGTTGTGGACTTGCTTATGCTAACGGTTAGCTTCTATTAGCTAAGACACGCTCTGCTCTCTCCTGGATGCTAAAGCAACAACAGCATTCTCCATTGTGAGACAAGATGGGTGAGTCTTTGAATGATAATTTACAGCGACATATCATACTGGCTTTTTCTGACCCAAGCAGCTAATGCAGGAAATAGGGGTAGAAGACTATTTTCACGTTCAGCCTGCATGTGAAACTCAGAGTTCCCGACCATATTTAAAAAATAACAAGTAAACCAATCCACATGTGCTTTGTGGATTTGGAGAAGGCTTATGACCGTGTCCCCAGGGGCACCCTGTGGGGGACGCTCCAGGAGTATGGGGTGGGTGGCTTTCTGTTAAGGGCCATCCAGTCCCTTTACCAGAGGAGAGTGAGTTTGGTACGCATAGCCGGTAGTAAGTCGGACCTGTTCCCGGTGAGGGTTGGACTCCGCCAGGGCTGCCCTTTGTCACCGGTTCTGTTCATTACCTTTATGGACAGAATTTCTAGGCGCAGCCGTGGTGTGGAGTGTGTCGAGTTTGGTGGCAGGAGAATCTCGTCTCTGCTTTTTGCGGATGATGTGGTCCTCCTAGCTTCATCCAGCTCTGACCTTCAGCTCTTGCTGGGTAGGTTCGCGGCCGAGTGTGAAGCGGCTGGGATGAGGATCAGTACCTCCAAATCTGAGACCATGGTTCTCGACCGGAAAAGGGTGGCTTGCCAACTCCGGGTCGGGGAAGAGGTCCTATCTCAAGGGGAGGAGTTTAAGTATCTCGGGGTCTTGTTCACGAGTGAGGGTAGGAGGGATCGGGAGATCGACAGGCGGATCGGTTCAGCATCTGCAGTGATGCGGACGCTGAGCCGATCTGTCGTGGGGAAGAGGGAGCTGAGCCCGAAAGCCAGGCTCTCGATTTACCGGTCGATCTACGTCCCAATCCTCACCTATGGTCATGAGCTTTGGGTAATGACCGAAAGAACGAGATCGCGGATACAAGCGGCCGAAATGAGTTTCCTCCGTAGGGTGGCCGGGCTCAGCCTTAGAGATAGGGTGAGGAGCTCGAAGTAGAACCGCTGCTCCTCCGGATCGAAAGGAGTCAGTTGAGGTGGTTTGGGCATCTGGTCAGGATGCCTCCTGGACGCCTCCCTGGGGAGGTGTTTCGGGCATGTCCTGCCGGCAGGAGGCCCCCGGGTCGACCCAGGACACGTTGGAGAGGTTACATCTCCAATCTGGTCCGGGAACGCCTTGGGGTCCTGCCGGAGGAGCTGGTGGAGGTGGCCGGGGAGAGGACGGTCTGGAGCTCCCTAGTTGGGATGCTGCCCCCGCGACCCGGACCCGGATAAGCGGAGGAAGACGACGACAACGACAACAAGTAAAAAACTGTTTCTCATTGATCTTGCTTTTAAAAATGAACTTTGGCCATCTATCCTCTACAGCAGTGGTTCCAATAACAGAGGTGTGGATCCCGCTGTGGGTCACAAATTTAAATAATTGTAAAACAAATCCTGAAGCTACAGTTTTTTAGCTAAATTGTCACAAAAACTCAGCCAATGATCATAAAAGGATATAAGTAAATATGAGCTGAAGCATCTTTCTTTATGCCTTCCATTTTTAGCTTGTTATTTTGTTTGTCTGAATCAGAAAAGTTGTTGAGTATAAAATTAGTTTTAAATGCAAGTACCTTCGCTTGGTGCTCTATTCTGTAAGGTGTTTGCTGGAACTGTCGGATCTCTCGGATGATGTGCGAAATCTAGAAAATATAAAGAATGTACCTTGATGAGCACATTCATGGTAAATCTAAAATTCACTCATCATTTAGCATCGTTTAGTCCCACCATCCTCATTTTAGAGAAGTTAACAAGACCCTCTTCAGTAAAATTTGGAGTTCCTTCTTCAATGAAGGCCAAGTCGGTCAGATACATCCCCAGGTACGGCACACATGGAGGGTTGCAGCTGAAAGGAAACACTTCAGGTCGGTTGAACGGACTTTTGTTTTCTTCTTTGAGATTTGAAAGCAAAGAAGATGAAATGTCTCACTTTTTCAGCGTCTCCCTCAGATTTTTAAATCTTCCCTCAGAGGAAATGGTCTTCTGCAGTTTGTCCATCAGAGCTTTAGTCTAAACGAGACGACAAAGAGACATTTAAACTCAGACCAGTAGGGAGTGTATGTTGACCTCGGACCCAATGACCTTTGATAGAAAGCTAATTAAATGGTGTAGTTGGATTTGTGTGAGCCTTTTTATAAAATGTCATAAAGACTGTATGCTGATTGGATGAATATGCCTTTGATCTCTTTAGAGAAACTCATGCGTTCATCTCCAGCAGGCTGGACTATTGCAACGGTCTTTTGAATGGTCTTTCCAAAAAAAAAAAAGCTGTGAAGCAACCGCAGCTTATTCATAATGCTGCTGCTAGAATCCCAACAAGAACCAAGAGAACCGAGCACATCACTCCTGTTCTTAAAGAGCAAGTCGCCCCCAAATCAACTTTTGTTTCCTGATAAACTGTATAAACGAGTGTCTAAGCATGCTGTAGACATTAGAGGTGGGAAAAATGATCGATTCTAAGATGCATCGCGATTCAGCCGTGCATGATCCTGCATCGATGCAGCAACATGACATAATGAGATTTTCTCCCTATGTCTATGTCTATGTTCTGGACGCGCGAGGACAATAAAGTTTTGAGGTTTTACAATTACTTCTGGGGGCAGAGTTGCAACGACATGCGCACTGCGTTGACCTAGTGCCAATTTAAAACAGAAAAGGTGGACAGGGATACAGAGCCAACATTACCAGTAATCAAAGATGTACCCGTTACATTTAAATCGGATGTCTGGGCTAATTTCGGTTTTGGGATCCTGGATGTGAAAGAATCACTTAACACAGTATTTGTTTACTATTTTTAAGTTCAGTAATATTCTATCTTAAAGCTGCTCTACTGAAAACATTATTTCTTATATTCTTTAAGTAATTATAGGCAGCACACTTTAAAAATTGTTGCTCACTATAGTGAATAGATGAATGTTCTGTTTTTCAGGGATTTTGAAATAAAAAAGAAATTGAAAACTATTCTACTGCTTTTATTAAGTAATGAACATTTTTGTGTGAAGAATCGTGATGCATTTCAGACTCAAATCGAATCGTTAGGCAGATAATCGGAATCGGATCGAATCGTGAGGCAGATAATCGGAATCGGATCGAATCGTGAGGCAGGTAGAGATGCACACCACTAGTAGACATGTGTAGTCAATAATTTGGCACTTTGGTGCAACTGAGTTAAAATTCGAATATTCTGCCTAAAACTGTCAGTGTTGCGTAGTCTTCAGGTAAAAACTCGGCACTAGGTTTGAATTTAAATCTGCAATCGCTATTGGTTACAAGGTACACTATAACATTAGCTGGGACATTATGATGTCACAATGTTGTTGTGAGCCAGTGTGTGTGTGTGTGTGTGTGTGTGTGTGTGTGTGTGTGTTAGTGGCTCCGCCCTCGGTCTGCCAGGTAACAGCATTTGTTGCATTTTTCAACAGGAAGTGGGAGTGGCGTTTGACTCTGGTAGGGAATGACTTGCTCTTTAAACCTCTACACTCGTTACCAGTAAACTGCAGAATCAATTTCAAAGTGCTACTACTAGTTTATAAAGCAGTCAATGGCACAGGGTCAGAATACATGCTGGATCTCCTTCCTGAGTATACGCCCAGCTCTGTGATTCTAAGGAAACAGTCAGCTGGTAGAACTCCGGGTCAGAACCAAACAGGGTGAAGCTGCTTTTAGCTACTACGCTGCACACTGTCATGTTCTGTGTCCCTTTGTTCCCCAACCCCTCCAGTTCCCACTCCAGGTTCTCCTTTTGTGCCTCATAGCGCCCTCATGTGTCCTTTGTCTGCATCCCATTTATGTGTCTCCTGTGTTCATTTAGTTATCCTCTGCCCTCCAGTTGTAGCTCCAGCCTCTTGTTCCCCAGCTTAGTGTATGTGTGTGTCAGTGTGTGTGTGCATGTCCTGCCCCAGTTCATTGTATGTGTGTATGTGTTTGTGTGAGTCCTTCCCTCAGTATTAGGTTCAGTTTTATGTTTATTATCTGCCCTCCATTGGTTCTGTTTCCCCTATTTAGATCATTTGTGTCACCTGCCTTCCCTCCAGCCCTCACTCCACACACCTGCTTCCTGTTTCCTTAATTGTTCTCCCCGTGTATTTAAGCCCTGTCTTGTCTCTGTTTGGTGTCAGTGTTGCTGTCAGTGTGGGTATTCTGGCAGTCTCTAGTTCCTCATCTCTAGTTTTACTTGTACTTCTTGTGTCTCAGTTTTGGATCACTAGTTTTTGGATTTTGGACGTTTTTGGATTTTGGCTTCCAGCCTTGGATTTACTTTGGTTTCTTGATCATCCCAAAAATAAAAGGATTTTTATTTATTCAACCTCTGCCTTGTGTCATCCTGGGTTTCTGCATTTTTGGGTCCTAACCATCCTCAATCGTGACACACACAGATGGAATCAGCTTCCTCATGACCTCAAATGTGTACCAACTCTAGAAACTTTAAAACAAAAATGGAAGACTTTCATGTTTTCATCGGCCTTTGAATGAATGTTCTTCTGCTGCACCTTCAGCTCTGCATCTGCTCACTCCTAACTTTAACTTTGTTTCTTTGAAGTTTTTTAACAGAATTTTTGGTCACATTGATTTTAATGTTCTTGCTATTCTTGCTAATGGAAAGCACATTGAATTGCCTCTGTGTGTGAAGTGTGCTACATAAACAAAGCTGCCTTGCCTATTGTGTTTAGAAGAATCACTAAAGGACAACAATGAAAAATGGGAATTTCCTCGAAGGATTCACATTTAAACACACATATCTAACATCAGTGAGATTACTTGGATACACATTCAGTAAAAAAAATAACATTTTCATATAAATTTGAGGTTATCTTTGCAGGAGAAACTCACTTGTTTGCTGACTTTAGCCCATGTCTTCTTTAGACGGTAGATGGCGCTGCGGTTGAGTGCCGATGTGATCTCCAGCACTCCGTTGTAGTTGTTCAGGCAGCGACAGATGTCTGCCACAGCCACCCACTTCTCAATGGAGCTGGCCCTTGAGCCCACGTCGGTGTGGCTCATAATCTGGGACGCCACCAGGTTACTCATCTTCAAAAGGAAAGAAAGGTGTATTTAACCCTTTAGGCCCTAGGCCTTTTTTCTTTGGGCCCTGGTGCCTCCCAACTGGGGGCCTTTGGGGTTTCATGTCCCAAGAGTCAGTGATTGTTTGCGTTCCCCGAGCACACCTGCAGCTACAATCAAAACAGTTTAGTTGGTAAACAAAGCAGTTGTTGGTTTTTGATACGTTAAGATAAAATAATACTTGAACTTTATTTTGGAAGAGCAGCCCTGTGTGAAAGTGCTGACAGGATGGAGGTTGTGAGTTCAAATTCCATTTAGGAAATTTGTTCAATTGTTGGATTTATTCCAGGGGTCCTCAACTACATTTGCTCAAGGGGTTTTTATTCCAGCAGACACCAGAGAAGGGCAGATGCTCTTGTAAAATAAAGTTCACACATTGTTGGCGCCAAAAAGGTCAAGAGGTCATCTACAAAATGTATTGAGTTAAAGCTGAGTTCTTAGGTTGAAAGTGTTTTCTGGCTAGAGTTCGTGTGCTGTTCCAACATCAGCTCCGAAGGAATTTCCTGTTTTGGTCTCTGCTTGCTTCCAGTAAAATTGCTTAAAGCTTATCTGACTTGCTAAATACTTGATGTGATTCCAAAAGTGTTGCTGTGTCCCAGACAGAAGTCTCCACCCACAGTTTCCACAGAGAGATGTGCTACCAAATATGGTCTGGTTCTCGCCGGTTGACTAATGAATGTTCAAAGGCTGTGAGCTATAAAAAAGGGAACCACTCTTTTGTCGGGGTCTTTCGGCTGTCCTGAGATGTGAGAAGACAAATTAAAGACCACGCTGTCTCGACTGGAAAAACTCTCTCCGACTCTTTTCTTTAAGAATAACATTGTGGGGCGACGGTGGCACAGGAGTTAAGAGCTCGCCCCGTAATCGGAAGGTTGCAGGTTTGAGCCCCGCTCAGTCTGTCGCTGTCGTTGTGTCCTTGGGCAAGACACTTAACCCACGTTGTCAGCTGGTGGTGGTCGGAGGGACCGGTGGCGCCAGAGCTCGGCAGCCTCGCCTCTGTCAGGGCGCCCCAGGGCAGCTGTGGCTACATCGTAGCTCATCCCCACCAGTGTGTGAATCTGTGTGTGAATGGGTGAATGACTGATTGTGTTGTAAAGCGCCTTGGGGGGTTCCAGGACTCTAGAAGGCGCTATATCAAACACAGGTCATTTACTATTGTATCTGAAGGTATTACAATTTAAAATGGCCTTGTTTCCCACCTGGGATGTTTGATTGTGGTTTTAGTTGTTTGTTTGTTTATTTATTTGGCAGACGCTTTTATCCAAAGCAACGTACAATCTATAACCTATAGGGCATGTTGTGATCTGTGGGGGAAACCGGAGTACCCGGAGGAAACCCACGCATGCACGGGCAGAACACGCAACTCCACGCAGAAAGGCCACAGCCGAGTTTCGAACCTGCGACCTCCGTGCTGCGAGGCAACAGTGCTAACCACTGCGCCACCATGCAGCCCAGTTGTGTTTGGAGAATGTGGACAGTTGTAGATATTTGGGACATGAAACTGTAGAGGCCCCCAACTGGGAAGCGTTAGGGTCAAACAGGTTAAATAAATCAGAATCAGGAGTTTGAAATGGAAATAAAACAATCTGCTGCACAGAGACATAATAGGAAGTTACGTCATTGAAGTGTTGGCTTGTTTTCATGATGTAAGGCGTCCTTTCGGTTTTATCCACCTTCATCCAGCCCTGGCCCAGGAACTCTCTTTGAGAGGAAAGACAAAAATGTGTTAAGTCCATAAGGTCAAATGAAGCAAATTACTGTAGAAACATAGAAACCCGTATCTAAAGAATCAGATCAGTGGTTCAGCTGGTCAGCTGTTTGTGTAGCTGCATCAGAAGAGATTGTGTTTAAATTATCAATCAAAAGTTATTACTTCATGTCTGAATAGGTTTTTAATTTCATGATCAAGAAAAACAAACTCAGATCATAAAATCCAAACATAAATTAATTTATGGAGAAAGTTTTGTTGAACTAAATGAGAAGAACTAGATGGGATGAGGATCAGCACCTCCAAATCTGAGACCATGGTTCTCCACCGGAAAAGGGTGGCTTGCCAACTCCGGGTCGGGGGAGAGGTCCTACCTCAAGTGGAGGAGTTTAAGTATCTCGGGGTCTTGTTCACGAGTGAGGGTAGGAGGGATCGGGAGATCCATAGGCGTCAGTTTAACCGGGGACGCCGGGGACATGTCCCCGGCAAAATTTGTGATTGGCAGCTGTGTCCCCCCCACTTTCAAAAAAGCCTGCTGATGAGGATTTTTGTTTTACCAGCTCAGGGGTCGGCAACCTGTTCCCATCAAAGAGCCATTATTACCCGTTTCCCACAGTAAAGAAAACACCGCAGTAGCCGCAGCGTTGTGGGCGGGGCCTACCCTCAGACAGCAGAGGGCTGCTCACAACCAGGTGACAGCAGCAGGTACCGGTCGCTCGCATGGGCGTCGCACCCGTGGGGGATTCAACACCCACACTTTTCCAGCTGTTTTGCTCACCTCCACACCAGTCTGGTTTCTTTATGTCGCACTCACTCTGTTTGCCTCATCTCCTTCTTCACCTCCCTCTTCTGACAGCCGATGTCGGGTTTCCAGGAGAGCAGGAGAGGGAGGGACGGAAGAGCTCGACTGAATTCATAATTTTACATCTTGACATTAGCTGTACAAAGTCTGAGTTTGATAAAGTTAAGAACAACAATTAGCAGAGGATTATAACTGGCGCGGCGCCAGGTTTTCATTTTTGGGTGGGCCACGGTAATTCTGGACGGACCTTAATAAGCAGTGACTTAGTGAAGCAGGCAGGACGCGCTAGAAAATTTAGTTTAAAAAGACGTCATAAATGTGTTCCCCCGTCATTTTTATTTCTAAAATATGAAGTAAAAACTCACAATTTAATTTTCATTCATTTGTCATTAATATGTAGTCTACACCCGTGCGTTAAGTGGACCATCTTCCAGTGAAAGCAAAGGATCCAGCCCATCTCTCCAAATGCGTAAAATGTGCACCACAGCCGTTAGGCGCCCCGCGCGCACCGTCAGCTACATCAGTCCAGACAAGAGCAGAGCAAATAGAATAGAGGATTATTCCGTCTGGATGTGGATTGAGATTAGATTTTACAGCAGCCTGATCATCATTTAAATATAACCATCACCTGTATTCTAGTCCATGCTATCAGCATTATTTTAATTGGTGTGTGTGTGTGTGTGTGTGTGTGTGTGTGTGTGTGTGTGTGTGTGTGTGTGTGTGTGTGTGTGTGTGTGTGTGTGTGTGTGTGTGTGTGTGTGTGTGTGTGTGTGTGTTTTCCACTTCCAACACTGGTCTAACCAACCAGACCAGCATGTCCAGTAACATATTAATGTTACAATTAAACAGTTTCTCTTCTTGTAGGCTAGGAACATTTCACCTGCCGTGGCCCGACCGCTTCTGCTCCACATAAACTTTGTGCGTAATCAAATGTCTCTACAGGTGCTCTCTGAGCTGCTATTCTGCCTCAGACTGGATGCGTCATGCGTCTCCATATTAGAGACGGGAAAAAGCGCTGTTCAGCCAAAGTTTCATAATTTCATAAAAAGAACATTTTTCCAAGCTCATCCATGCGCATCAGTGTGCGTCGGGGTAATTCTTTCAAAACAGCCAGCATCCTTGAGTTTATCCGTCAAAATAAAAGTCTAATATAAATATCTGTAACCTGCCATTTAACTGTTTTGCCTTCTTGTGAAGATTGTTGCAAAGAGAAACAACTAAACTTGATTAACCCCAGAGCCATGCGCACTGCACTGTACGTCGTGACTGTAAATGAAGGGAAATGATTTAATCGGATCCTTTTCTCTTCAACATGGTTTAATGTAACGTTTCATTCAGTACAAACTTTAGTTACACCAATCTAACGAGACGGAGCCTGGATTTGTGTTCTGAACAGTTTAAACATGTTTAAAACGGAGACGTGCGTGACGCGTCTAAAATCCGCACCTGCTCCGCTATTATGGAAATTAAACTAACAAGGTGAATAACATCAAATTATTTTAGGCACAGACAACATCTCCCACACTTTTGAAAATCTTGCAACCGCCTGGTCGCTCGTGTACGTCAAAGTTATCTTTCATAAGAAGATAATCAATGAAACGATTTATATAAAGATGATCCAGAAGTTGTAGCCCGTCTCTGCCTACAATATTTTGATATTTTTCACCCTGTTGGTGGTTTTACTGAGCAGGTGCCACTTTTGTCATACGTTTCTTTTTAAAACATGTTTAGACTGTTCAGAATACAAATCCAGGCTCTCAGAACCAGAGCGCATGTGGAAGGTTCCTCCCACTGAAGCGAGTGTTTTCCAAACCCTGTCTCTCAGAGAGACTTGTCACTTAGAAAATGTTCCCTGATTATGAAACTTTGGCTGAATAGCGCTTGTTCCTGTCTCCAATGTGGCGACGCATCCAGGAGCCGTCTGAGGAGAATCCCAGAATCTGACATCCTCCAGCTCAGGAAGCGCATATGATTACGCACAAGCGTGACGCGTCAACCCGGTCTCACAGTAAGACCGGGTCGGAACTGTTCAGGTTTACGCAGACAATCTTTACATTTAGAATTAGCATACAGATGTAAAATTAATGCAGTAAAATATAAAGCTTTTTATTTAAATATCCATTCATTATTTTACAAGCACAGAGCATCAGATGGATGGAAGAGCCGCATGCGGCTACAGAGCCGCCGACCCCTGTGCTAGCCTATATTGTCCCCAGCAATTTTTAAACCCCGCTCAAGTGTATGGTTAGTGTCCCCAGCAATTCTGAAAACAAACTGACGCCCTTGAGGAGATCGACAGGCGGATCGGTTCGGCGTCTATCAATCACAGGCTCTCTGTCACTTTGAACAGGTAGTTAAAAATTTGGGCATGTCTCCGTCAGCCCGTGTGAGCTTGTTGGAGAGTCCTAGCAACGCATCAAGTGGTTGCGCGTGTCCGTACCTACCCAGACGGAGACGTATAAACCAGCCTTCCGTTTGGGGGATTGCTGTAAAGTCTCTGACTCAACAAGTCAGTGACTCCATGCAATCTCTTGGGGTTTCTTACAAAGGAACCTTTTCACTAATTGGCTTAATGAACTGAACTCAGCGCACTGATAAGTAGGTTCAGTTAGAACGTTTACTTTGTAAACATTCACTCTTGTTGTGATTTGACGCTGTATGAATTTATAGAGAGTAAAGACTTACGTGGCAGCACTAAAGGATGCAAAAGGTGACTTTGCATAATATGTCTCCTTTAACTTTCTGTAATTTGATTTCCATGAGTTATAACAGGAGGTTTCACCTGAAGTTTAATTACAAAAGTGACACAAAATCTCGTCTGTTTTCTTTGTTTTTCATCTTAAAGTCTGTTAAAAAAAATCCATGCTAGTGTCTCTGTTTGCCCTGATAAATATAACACTGATAATAACAGCTGGGGACCGACTCATAAGGAATGCTCCTGAAGACGATGTGATCCAGCAGAGTGATCTGCTCAGCCAGCTCCATCGCAGACAGAGACTCAAAACACTCCGCCTTCGGACAGTCTGCCTAAACACACGGAAGCAAAAAGATAAATAAATAAATTAGAAATAACAAGAAGATATAAATAAAAGTCTAATGAAGATGTGATGGATATGGCTGATGACAGATGACTGACTTAGAGAGCAAGGCTCATCAGAGGGTGCCTTTATCCTCTGCTGTCTATTGGAGAGGACCGTGGGGACTGACCAAGATTTCATATCACATGTGATGCCCAATTATTATTAAGACAGTGTGGTTTACTGATTTAATATTATTGCTTCATCTTGAGGGGATGAGCAGGAAAATATTAGGCAGATCTCTTAACTCATTCACTGCCAATGACGACTAAAGTCGTCATTTGCATTTTTTTACTTTTTGAGCATCGGAACGAGCCCCCGCGCTGAGAGAACAAACATCTCAGCTCTGAAGCCGATCTTCATCCGCATACGTCACACATCACATGATCAGGAAGCAGAACATCCATGTGTTAGGAGATCGTTTTGGGCCGTTCTTGTAAAAAAAAAAGGGAGGCGCGAACCGGAAAAGCGTCTGCCGATCACAATTTGACAACGGATTATGAAAGAACGGATAACGCTCGAAACACGCGGATTCTTCCTGATGTAAGAGGTGAGTCTCCTCTTTGTTTTGGTTGTTTTGGCATCGACATCATGCTAGCGTGCAACGTTCTGTGACTCTTAAAAAGGAACAGTAAAAACGGTGAGAAACGCTGGCAGCGAAGGCCGTTAGTGATCAGGAAACGGCTGGCAGTGAATGAGTTAATAGTTAGGGATGCATTTGGGTGTAACGGAACAGAATGACTGTTATTTTCCCCTCCTCAACACTGGACTAGTCTGCATGAGATATAACTCAAGGTCTCATGCATTCCTTCTAACCTGCTTATTTTCAACTCAACAGAAGAACGAAGAATGAACTCTTTTCTTTTAATTAATCAAAGAACTCTATTTTAATAAAGCTAATCCATCAAAGTGTTAGTCAATAAATAAGATGTGACCGACCTGTGAAATCAAAATATTAATAACTTTATTATAATCCTATAGAATATAAAAGTAATATGACTTTAAATGTTCCAACAGGACTCATTTCACGTAGCGTTAAAAGACATGACACATTACTTTCACTGATCCAATCAGAATCTCACAGATCTGACGGAGGCGTGGTTTGGATGCTGTTTGGTGATTTTTCATTCGACCATAAACCAAAACATCCGAAGTATAAAACTACGCCACGTCAGCTCTAACGCCAGTTCAAAGCGTTCCAGAGAAAGTGACGGAGTGGCCAATCCTGATCTCAACTCTTTAACCGAAAGAACCAACAAAAGCTGAAAAATTCGTCCCTATTCCAACAGCGACAACAGTTCCCTTCAGAATAAAAGCTGAACCATCCAGACCAAGGCTTGGTACTCACCAGACGCCAACAAAATGTCGTGTACCCGGAAGTAACTCAAAGACGGGTCTGATCGGAACCGCGGCTTTTCCTACCGGCTCGGTTCCAGAAAGGGTCAAGCTGGATCTCGATATTCCTGATCTACAGAGGACTTCCGCGAAGGGTAGGTAGACCGACATAATGGGGTCTCATGTGTTTATGAACCTCCCAACCAAAGCTTAACGCGAAGACATCACCTTCAGTTCCCTTCAGAAATAATCGCTTCTCAGGATTTGCTGGTTCTGATTTAACATCACACGTCATCCATTCACCGCCTCATCCACTTTAGTTACACCATACATTTAGTTTTGAAGTCAGTCTAGTTTAATTTGTTAGTGATAAAATCCTTAACTTTTAAACTTGACTCTCTCTCTTCTGTTGTCTCTGAGTGAATATGTAGCGGTTATCTAATCCCTGCAATAAAAAGACCCAATCTTCTGGTTTAAATAACTCTTCCCAGATCCGTAAGGTGGATTTCATATTTCCTATGGAATCCCACGCCTTATGGCTCATTAAATAACACGTAATCTATTTCATTACATGCGTTATTTTCAATTCAAGTCAAATTCTTTGGTTGAGTAAATGTAAGAAATGGCACATATAATGAAAATGACTAAATATTTCATGTTAGGCAATAATATGCATTTAGGTAAAAGCACAATAGTGCTGTTTCATGCTAAATCGTAAGCCTGCTCAATATTTTAACAGGTGTTTCAAAACCAAGGAAATAACCGTTTTATTAAATCCTTATGAAGGCTCTTACTTTGAAGGCGTGCTGAATATTTATTGAGATTTGGACAAAAATGTAAACCAATTAAATGCTCTAATAATCTCACCATCTGTAAGATGTCTTCTATTCTTAGCTGCGCGTCGTCCTGCTCATCTTGAGAAAGGGCACTAGCAGACAGACAAACAGCATCAAATAGAAGAAAATTATATTCATAAGAACATCGAATAACTCAGCAGAATAATGGTCATGTTTAATGATCTTCTAAAAGTGATACCAGAAGCATGGCTCTCAAAAAACCATGTTGCTGAGTGTCCTAGATGTTGTACCTTAATATGTTGGCAGTAGCTTTTCTCTCCTGGGGCAGGAGGTCTGGATCTCTGAGCACTTCCTCCAGGAGATAGACAACAGACATCTTCAGCTCCCCGTTCATCTCAAAGTCCTAAACAAAAGGGCAGATGAACACAGACACGACTAGGATCTGAGTAGCTATAAATCGCTGGAGAAGGACCATTTATTTTTATCTCAAACCCCCAAATCGCTACGCTTTACACTTCCTTTTCCTTTCAGCTCCCGCTTTGATTTAACTCGTATTTAAACGTCGTGTTAACAAGTCTTTCCTGCTCTTTAGACCACTAATAGATATATGAAAGTGTACATGCACTGCACACACATATGTGTTAATAAGGTGACCAGAGCCAGCCCCTTCATCGCTGTGTTTTGCATTATAAAAGAGAAAAACACAAAAACAGATGGACTAGAAGGTCCTCCGCATGGAGAGTCAGGGAATTACCTTGATGTTCAGTCTGCAGGATGGAAGGAAGCAAGTTGTTGTGCGTGTGTTTATAAGTGAGAGCGGCAGAGCAGCATGTAAATCCATCAGTCATCTGCTTTAATTAGACCACAGACTTTATAATCTGCGCAAAAGAGAGAACCTCCTCCACACACTCACACACACACACACACACATGCACATTCATGTACACAAACAGATGGACGGACACACACACCCACACACACGCTACAGTGGGTGGAAACAAACCTGTGAGTGTTTGGAGACCCAGTGACGCAGCACGTTGAGGACTCTGTTAGTCGCAGCTCTGCGGATGATGAACTCTTTATCACAGGTTCTCTCAGAGTTGGTAAAAGCTGCAAGAGGAGAAAAAAATGACAAAAAAATCTTCTAAGTGTTTAACCTCTGGAGGCCGGCGTTGCAGATTTGCAACAGTTGAAACCTACCAACCTGGTTACTCTACAAACGTATTTCATGAGCATCTTTTAACTCTGAAGTACCCCTGAAGGACTTAGTTGGTCGTCCTTTAATCAAAACTTACTTTGAGCCTGAGAGGGTTAATCTGCATGCATCAGACTTTTATGTGAGCAGTGTTTTAGCAGATCCCTCCACCAACTGAGCTGTGAAACATCCACAGATCCAATTAATATCTCACTGGTAGGATGACTTGGATTTAAAATGAGTTCGATGAAGCTGAAAACAGTTCCAATGGTGCGCGTGCACGTGTGTGTGTCTGTGTGTGTGTGTGTGTGTGTGTGTGCGTGTGTTACCTGGTGGAGTACCGTGTCCTGCTGCTGCAGTTGCAATAGCAAAAGCTGATGCAGGAGAAACTGAACAGCGGGAGTTCTCTCCAGACTGGACTGCAGATGCACAGACACATCAATCATCATCAGCTGCAACACAACGCAGTTAGATCTATCGCAGCTGTTGTAATAAAAACAAACATGAGGGCAATCAAATTACTTTCAGTTCAAATATAAGATTACACCCGGTCATAAAACTTCACATAGTGTGAGTATGGAAATATATATCTCTATTTCTTTGAGAAAAAACTTTTTTACACCAATGGATACTGGACAAAACTGTTACTTGGATTCTTCAGGACTCCTCAGGTAAAAAATCTGCACTGCATTTGAATTTCTATCTGCCATCGCTATTGGCCAAGAGGTACCCTATGACATTTAGCTGCTACCATATGATGCCACAATGTTGTTGTGAGCCTGTGTGTGTGTGTGTGTGTTAGCGGCTCCGCCCTCCCGGTCTGCTAGGCAACAGCATTTGTTGCATTTTTCAAACAGGAAGTGGGAGTGGAGTAATACTCTGGTAGGGGGTGACTTGCTCTTTAACAATAAAAATTCAGAACCCTCCAGCCAGCTGAGAAGGAAACCTGATTCACTTTGACCAAACATGACTGAGACATTAGACTGTTTATATGTTTGTTATTTTACAGTGTTAATTATGTCAGTTTGAACAACTGCTGGGTACACCTGAAGCATTACAAATTAAAAAAGCTCTGATTGTTTATATAACTGGACTCTAACCGTTCCATAAAACTCTAATGTCTTCCTCAGACACCTTCATAAACTCAGATGTTCAGTTTAAGTTGTAGTTTGGAGTCAAAGCTGACGTCGGGCTCATGTTTGGCAGATTCTTTTGGAATCAGCTCAGTTACTTGACATGGTGCTGTGGTGTAATCATGAGTAATAAACACTGCCACAGTCTTACCTCCAGGCTGTCTGTAGCGGAGGTGTCGAGGCGTGGATGGAGAACGACACGGAGACACGTCTCCGGCGTCACTGCTCTGCGGAGACTCCGGGATGATTTTCTCCAATGACACAGATTCCAGCACAGCTAGACAGGAGGAGAGCAGGATGAACGACAGTAACAGAGCCGGTTATGGTGATGGCTATTAGGGCCGGACAAGAAACCGTCAGATTTGTGGGAAAAAACTGCAACAATGCAAAAAAAAAATCATTTTAATAGTAATAATTAAAATGTATGATTTCGATTATAATTTGATTAAACCTCTTAGAGCTTGTGTATTTACTTATATAAATGCATTTATTTAGGTAAAGATGCAAGTGACTTCTTTAAACATTAAGTGCTTTCCTGTTTCAAGTCACTGATTTGAACTGATTTTACCTGTTGATCATCATCGTACACACACACACACACACACACACACACTGCATGAGCGTGTGTATGCTAATGAGAGAGTCTAACCGATGGTGCCCCCAAGGGGTGGCCAAGGATGGCCATGGCCACCCTGAGAAAATTGGTGACCCCCCAGCAAAAAGCCAGTGTTAACGAATAATATTAGTGTTCACGCAAACCATAAATTGATCTTATTTCTTCAAAAATATAATAAAAAATACAATTAATGAGTAAAGAAATAATCAGAATAAAAAAATACATATGTTTCTGCTGCTCACCATTTTAACAAAGTTTTTATCTCCATAGTTTTTCGTGAACACAGTGTAACAGAATGAAATGACTGTTTTACACCTAAAGGTCATTTCCCCTCTTCTCAGCAAGAACTAATCTGCATGAGATATTGCTCAAGGTCATGCATCTGCTTCTAAACTGCTTCCTTTCCAGCCCAAGAGAAGAATGAAGACAAAGGACTCTTCCTTTTTTAATAAATCAAAGAACTCTATGTTTAATAAAGCTAATCAAACAAAGTGTTAGTCAGTAATAATGTGGACCAACCTGTGAAATGACAATGTTATGATTACTAAGTTTTAATAAGTAATATGACTTTAATCTAGCTGCACTAGACATCCTGATCCACGTAATGTAAATACACATTTTATCTTTCTCATCCAATCAGAACCTTCCTTTCTGAAGCGTGGCATAGTCTCTGTGGTGTTTATAAATTTGTCTAACTTTGATTCGACCGTAAAACAAAACATCCAGCTTAATAAAACCAGTCCCCACACCATCTTAAGGCCAGTTCACCGCATGCTAAGAGAAATATCGGACCGGCCACCCGGACTTCCTTTTTAAGCAAAGAACAACAAGCTGGATAAAATCTGTTGCATTTTACCAACCAAGCAACGGTCCCTTTCAGAATAAAAGCTGAACTCACTGACCCTCCGGGTCCATCTGACGCTGTCAACCAACTGTCGCTTTTTACCTGGAGACAATCCCAAGACTAGTCTGTCGTACTGCTGACGCTGTTTCATCGGCTCCGGTACCGAAAGGGGGGTCTGAGGACCTGGCATTCTGGATCTGTACGGAGGACTCATCCTGAAGGGTAAGTGTGGAGCGACAAAATGGCGTCTCATGTGTTTATGAAACTCTGATCATAGCTTAAGAGCAAAACATCACTTCATCACTCAGACTTGCTTCTCCGGATACGAGAGTTCTGATTACAACGTCACTCACACACACACCATCCATCTCACGTCTCATTCACACCAAGATCCATTCATCACTTAGAGTTTAGAGTTAGTCTTGTTTAAAATTGTTTAGAAATAAATCTTCTTAAACGTTTTAAAGGCGACTCTCTCTTCTCTTGTCTCTCAGTTAATACGAAGTGTTACATAATCCCAGCAATAAAAAGTTCCAATCATCTGGTTAAAATTACCTAAAGATCCATAAGATTGATTTCATAGTTTCTATGGAATCTCATATTTTATGGTTCATTAAATAATATGTAAATTTAATCGTTACAACAGCAACAGGTGAATTTAACTAAAAAAATACATTTTAAAAGAAATATAGAAATAACATTTTAACTAACTGAAATGTATTTTTCTGAAATGTTTGTGTTTGTAAAATTTTTGTTAAAAGTTTTGGATACGTACTGTATTTTTTTGAAAAATAAAAACAAATAAAGGAGCAATGCAATACATCGCCACAGGCTAAACTCTCCCAGAGTTACCACAAGGACCAATTTGGTGAGCCACCCCAAAAGTGCAACAGCATTTGTTGCATTTTTCAAACAGGAAATGGGAGTGAAGTAAGACTCTGGTAGGGGGGGACTAGCTCTTTAACAATATCAGTAAAATTAATAAAGGGACCCTTATTGTAAAGTGTTACCAATGTTATTTCACCAATGTACAAGTACCTTGTTACTGTTCTTAAGTGTAATTTTTCTGTACTTTACTTAAAGAGGCCATATCATGGAAAAAAATGAACTTTTTTATCATGTGATATTATTATTTCCTCATAAGAAAAAAAAACTAAACCCATTGTTGGGCTGCATTCATGCATTTTCCTGTTTCAGCAGCAAATTTTGAGTTTTACCTTGAAAATCCTGTAAAGTGTCAAAGGAAACTCGTCATCAGGCCCTGCTCCTCTCCTGGAAGCTAGTCTCTGATCTGAAACCCGTCTCTTCTGACCAGCACAGGATACGTGGCTTTGGCGACTGCTGTTATGTAGCAGACTTGGTGGTTAGAGTGCTCAGAGAGATGCCAATAAACACCTCACTCGTCTAAGACGCTGTTGTAAGCACGTTTTATCGGAGTGGGCGGAGTTTCATTGAAACAAAGCATAAATTTAGGCTGATGAAAATAACTTGTATTTAAAATAAATGCCATCTCATTATTGCCAAGATAATATTTTATCATATACTGAGCACACCTTTGCTATCAAAGGTCTGAAATAGCATGATATGGAACATTTCTACTTCTCTTTATTTTATATAAAGTTTCACAAGTAAAAGTACTTTATTTTGTATTTTGTCTGACTCCCACCCCACCCACCTCCGGTCCAATTAGCAGCTTACCCCCTTGTCCACGCTGGACTGCAATTCAATTCAATTCAAATTCAAAAATACTTTATTAATCCCAGAGGGAAACTGATTGCTGTAGTAGCTCAGAAAAATAATAATAATCAAGTAATCAAAGAGTTGTTGTATATTACAATGGCTGTTGGCAGGAAGGATCTCCAGTAGCGGTCAGTGTTGCAGCCAAACTGAAGAAGCCTCTGACTGAAGACACTCTTCCGTTGTCGGACAGTCTTGTGAAGAGAATGCTCAGGGTTGTCCATCATGTTCTTGATTCTCTGGAGAATCCTTCTTTGCATTATCTCCTCCAGCGGTTCGAAACTGCCGAAACTCTGGCTGAGTCCTTGAAAGGGCTTGGAGTTGCTCCATCTTGTTGGCCAGTGATCTCACATTGCCCATTATGATCGATGGAAGAGATGGTTTGAATTTCCTCTTTCTTGGTCTCCGTTTTGCTCCCCTCTGCACCCACGCTTCTTGCGTTTTAGCTCATTTGGGATTTGTGGCTTCAGTTGAGGTATTATTTCAGCCTTTCCAAAGTTAATCAGCTGCTCCTGATTGTAAACCAGCTTGTTGCCATGGTTACGTATCATAACAAATGCTCAAAAAGTGAAAAAAGCTAAAAAATAGCAGTAAAAATCCTCGAAGCTTCACAGCACCAGAAACAGAAAAGTAAAGTGTCCAAAAAAATACAGTTTTTCTTGAGAAACTAGAAGAAAAAATGTCCAAGAAAAGGCAAAACTTACATGTAGTCAACAGAGCTACTCCAACATGCAGCCACCCAGAGCAGCGCAGTTCTGGAAAAAATAGTGCTAATTTCCCCCTACAGTCCAACAGCATGCTTCTACAGACAACACATAATTAAATCTTAGTTCAATTAACTTTTAACCCTCTCAGGCTCAAAATACGTTTCGATAAAAGGACGAACAAATAAGTCCTTCGAGGATACTTCTGAGTTAAAAAATGCTCATGAAATACGTTTGTGGGGTAACCAGGTAGGTTTTAACTGTTGCAAATCTGCAACGCCTGCCTCCAGAGGGTTAAGCCCTTTTGAGAATCAAAATCCAGTTTAGTTAAAATAAAATAAAAAACAACAAGGTCCACTAAAGTGTCAGACAGTAAAATACACATACAAAATGAGAAACAACAGTGGACCAAAGACAACATTTAAAGTAAAATCAACTATTTTAGTTGTAACCGAATGAAATGACTGTTTTCCACCTAAAAGTCATCTTCCCCTCTCCTCTGACACAGAACTAGTCTGCATGAGATTTGGCCTCAAGGTCTCATTCATTTGCTTCTAACCTGCTTCTTTCCAGTTCAAGAGAAGAATGAAGAATGGACTCTCTCCTTTAATAAATCAAAGAACTCTATTTTAATAAAGCTAATCAAACAAAGTGTTAGTCAATAATAAGATGTGACCAATCTGTGAAATCAAAATATTAATTACTTTATTATAATCCTATATACTATAATAAGTAATACGACTTTAAATGTTTCCACTAGGACTGATCTCACGTAGCGTTAAGACATGACACATTGCTTTACTGATCCAATCAGAATCTGCCAGATCTGACAGAGGCGTGGTTTTGGTGGTGTTTGGTAAATCTGTCATCTTTTCATTCGACCATAAACCAAAACATTCGAAGTATAAAACTATGCCCACGTCATCTTTAACGCCAGTTCAAAGCGTTCTAGAGAAGTTGTCGGAGTGGCCAATCTGTAACTTTCCTCTTCAGCCGAAAGAACCAACGACGAGCTGGATAAAATCTGTTGCTGTTCCACCTGCTGCAACGGTTCCTTTCAGAATAAAAGCTGAACCATCACGACCCTGTTTTGGGTCTCGCTAGACGCCAACAAATTGTCGTGACCAGGAAGTATCTCAAGACGGGTGGTCGGCTGCCGTGGCTGTGCTACAGGCTTCGGCTCCATAAGGTCAAGCTGGACCTTTACACCTCCTGATCTAGACGGGGACTTCCAAAAGGGTATGTAGACGGACAAATGGCGTCGAATGTGTTTATGAATCTCCAAATCAAAGCTTAGCACGACAACATCACCTTCGATTCCCATCAGAACTAATCGCTTCTTCGGATTTGCTGGTTCTGAGCAACATTCCACACTACACCATTCTCCGTCTCATTCACCTTAGTTACACCATACATTTAGTGTTAAAGTTAGTCTAGTTTTAATTTGTTTAGTAATAAATCTTTAAACTTTTAAACTCGACTCTCTCTCTTCTGTTGTCTCTGCATTAATACGAAGCTGTTATCTAATCCCTGCAATAAAAAGTTCCAATCTTCTGGTTAAAATAACCCAACGGATCCATAAGGTTGATTTCATATTTCCTATGGAATCTCATGGCTTATTAAATAACATGTAATTTAAATCATTACATAGTCAAACGCGAGGGAGAAGATGGGAGAGTGTGACATGATCTGTCAGGCTTTTCAAATCCTTTCGTTTTACTTTCTGTTTTCACCATCAGCAGACCAACGCTCAGCCAATCAAGAGTATGCGAAGCATAATGAGCTTTTGAAAGCCTAGTCGTAACGTTTTTCTAAGTAATTATGGTTTACTTAAAATCGTAACTTACTTCTCCGAATGCTTCGTCTCAGCTTCCCACAGAAGGGGTCGATCTTCGGCATCTCATCTCCCTCTGCTGTTGGACAAGGACTCTGATCGGGTGAGGAGGGAGTCAGAGGAGCTTGATCCTGTGGCGATTTGGAATTGTTGGGAGGAGGAGAGGTGGAGGAGGCAAGAGGAGGAGGAGGAGAGGTAGCAGTCGGAGTCGGGGTCTGGGGTGTTGGTGTTTGAGGCGTGTGGGCAGAGGTGGGGCTGCTGGCAGCAGACTGGGAAGTGTTGTGGTTGATGCTGGAGTTGGACACTGGAGATGTCAGGTCCAGGCCTCCAACCCTGGCGGTGATGGGGGAGTGAAGAGAAAGCTTTCGGGTTCGGACAGGCGAGGAGGTGCGGGATGAGACTGATAACGGGGGAGGAGAGGAGAACTTGCGGCAGAGGCGAGGGGATCTGTCATTCATGTTATCACTGCCTCGATTGTTCTGATTGGTGGCAAAAAACAGCTCCAAGGACCTGGAAAGGAGAAAGAAACGCGTTTTAGCAGAACTACGGGTGCTGGAAAAGCTCCAGAGAGTTGGAGAAACACAAAGTGTGTACCGGAGTCTGATTCAGATGAAATGAACTCTGATTGTAGATTCTCCTGAGCATAGAGTGAGCTTTTGTTATATTTGTGACACTGAGTTGTTTGGACTTAGGCAGAGTGATTTGTAATGAGTGGGTGCAAATGTGCAGTCAGATGTTATTTTGGCAGTTTTTCATTGTGGCATCTCCGTACTCCAGCACACTGAGCTGGAAATAACACAACATCTTTCCGGTTGCCTTGGCGACTGCCAGCTTTTATTCCTGGTTGTTTCCAGTCTCTGTTTTAACATTTCAGGACTTTTACACCTTTGTGCAGCCTGTAAGCACCCCCCATTTGTAAGGAACTGCAATAAAGCTGGACAAGTGAGCTCAACGCAGCTGTAATAATGCTGAACCCTGAGAGAACTGTCATCACTTTATTCCTCTTCTCTTGGCTCTAAGGTGCTTCCTGGCAACCGTCAGGTTGGTGTGGTATTATGGTTGGAAACTCCCTGATCAATTTCATCTTTCTCTTTAGAATTAGATTTGGACAGAAGCTCCAGTACGTTTGAAGAAGAGTAATAATTAAAGGTTACTGTGATACTGTAAACGATTGTGTTGCTTTAGTTTGAGCACCTGCACACGTAGCTGCAAAACCAACCCGTTCTTGTCTTCAGAGCTTAGAGCATTGCTTCATCGTCCGGTAGCTGGGAGCCTCTCTGACATCCAATCAGGGCGTATTTTGGCATTGGTGTTGTGACACTTTGGTCCAAGCATTATTAGATGCCAGGAGCAAACACCACCTTATTGAATCTGACAATGTCCTTATTAGGCTGCATGGTGGCGCAGTGGTTAGCACTGTTGCCTCGCAGCACGAAGGTCGCGGGTTCGAAACTCGGCTGCGGCCTTTCTGCGTGGAGTTGCGTGTTCTCCCCATGCATGCGTGGGTTTCCTCCGGGTACTCCGGTTTCCCCCACGGATCACAACATGTCCTATAGGTTATAAATTGTAAGACACTTTGGATAAAAGCGTCTGCCAAATAAATAAACATAAACATAAACATTAGATAGAAGGAGGAGTGAGAGAGCAATAAGGACAGAGCTTCAATCTCAAAGCTCAGCCTCAGAGACCAGTTGAAACATTTGTGAGTCTGCAGTGACACCTTTGATTTTAAAGGCTTCAGTCTCACTCACTGTTAGCTCAAGCAGCAAAACTGGTTCGGTTAAAGCAACAATTGCTTTGACGCAGCAAGAAAAACCCATCAGTTTGTTTTGAACGAGGACCTGCTCTGGCTTATGATAAAGTTACCCCTAAAACTAAGATAATAAAATAGACATTTTATGTAAAACAGATTTTTTTTGCTTCCTTTTGTGCTGAAATGTGAGTCTCTTCAGCCTCTATAAACACTCCAAATGTGAAAAACATCTATTTTCTGTCAGAAAAGGAATTATTTACCTAAAACAAGCCGTTTCTAAAAGTTCCCATTTGTGATGTCACAAGCGGGAAAATTAGGATAAAACCACCTCCCGCGTGCAAGAGAGAGCTGCTAAAAAAGGAGCAGCAGCTCTACACTTAGCCCCTCATATATTGGAGCTTCTCAGCTTATAGCAGCCTGAGTGGGGGATGAGTGGGAGTGGCCAGCTTCAGCTTGTTTTCTTAAAAGGACTGAAACAGCTCATTCTGTACAGCTGACTAATTTGCTTTATGTGAAAAGGATTTAGTGCAAAGAACTTCATAAACATGTTTGGTACTGACCATAGAACTATTATAATTTAAAAAAAAAATCTTAACATGTCCCCTTTAAAGTCTGATAGCAGGTTTGCACAGTGCTGATACCATACAGTGGAATGAGGCTGGGCCTGGAGATAATCCTCTAAGGTTTAGGAAGCTTGCCTTACCTCTTTGACACAATCCAAATGCATAAAAATAAATTAGGTCTTAACGGAATATAAATGTGAACATCTGTTAAGTTGTGAGTTTACCGTAGTATACGTTTAGCTCTAGTTTATATGCCCAGAAACATTAAACAGCAAAAATCAGCTGCAGCACTCAAGGGAGCACGCGTGAGAAGCATTTTGGCAAAAAGGGGGGAAATGCAAAAAAAAAAAAAAAGGAAAGTCAGAAATGGAAGGGAGGATAGAAATGTGATGAGAAGCAACAGGCAGGAGAAAAATATCCAAACGAAACGTCACAAAGTGATGGATCAGGATAAATCTTCTAAACAAATGAAAAACAAAACAAACATTCGGTCTTAAAAACATGCTGGACACCATTTTATTTATTCTATTTCTTTGGTTTTCACTCATTTAAATCTGTTGAGATGGGAACAATTACAATCTCTGTGCTTTAGTTGCAAAAAGGATCCATTCAGGCTAGGGAAAGGAAAGTCGTGCATCAGTTCAGGAAGAGCCTAACAGAAGCAGAGGCCAGATAAAAGACTCGGTTACTTGGACTGATCCACGGCTATCTTCATCATCTTCAGACCGTAGTCGGGACACATGGATGAGATGGGCAGACGGTCAAATGTGTGGTACTGGACCCTGGAGTTGGAAGGGTTACATGTAGACAAAGGAGATGGACAACAAACAGAATAGATGGATGAGTGTCAACGAGTGGATTTAGACATGGAAATAAAAGGAGATGCAACAGGAACGGGACGTGATTTGAGGAAAGATGCTGGAAGATAAATTATTCAGTTGGAGAAAAGGTGCACTTGAGCCAGACAACTTCATGAACAGAGGTGTTTTTCTTTATTTCTGTAGTAAATGTACGTGAGTGGACTGTACAAGTCAACTGGATCTGGTTTTCAAACGAGAAGCCCCTGAGAGAGAGGAGGAGTGCTTTAGTAGTTTACTGTCCTCAGTGCAACACTAATCCAGAACATAAAGCAAAAGCAGGTCGTCGTAGATCTCACCACGTGGATTTAGTCATTAGCCATTACTACTTATTAAGATTTTTGCTCGTGTCTCTGTCGGCTACAGCTGATGCTTGTCAGGATGTGGGTTTGGAGGACGGTTAGGACCCAAGATGCAGAACCAGAGACACGAGGCAGGAGGTAAAATCCTTTATTAAGGAGTAAATCCAAAGGAGGCAGGGAGCCAAAAACCAAAGTCCAAAAATCCTAATATCAAAACCGAGAGAAATCCAAGAACACAAGAGACCTAGAGAGATATTCAAATCTAGAGAGGGGAACGGGACGAGGCTGACGCAAACAATGGTCCAACAACACAGACAAGGTTAAGGCCCCGTCCACACGTAGCCGGGGATCTGCCAAAACGTAGATATTTTTCTACGTTTTGGCCTGTCATCCACACGAAAACGGAGTTTTTTCACACAAAAACGGATCTTTTTAAAAACTCCGGCCAAAGTGAAGATCTGCGTTTTCTCCGTTTTGGGTGTCTGCGTGTGGACAGACAAAACCGGAGTTTTAAGGTCCGCAACGTCACTTTCCGCGACAAAAAAATGCTGACATCACGTGTGCGACCTGTGTTTACACTAGCCGACAGCATGGATGCCCTCAGAGCTGCGCTCGCTTTATCAATTGTCCAAGCGCTTTCTGCTCGTTTGTTTTTGCAAGAGGAATTACTGCTCCTTGCGGAAGACCACAGACGAAGGACGAGGTTAAGAACGGGGGAAGTACTGCCGCCTACAGGTCTGGCATGTCCTTAACAACATATTTATCCGGGTACGTGTGGACAGTTTTTTTTAAACGCGGTGGTGTGGATGCAAGTTTTTGGAGGGGCGGATATTCGTTTTAAAAAAACCCCGGCTACGTGTGGACTAGGCCTATATACACAGGGGCGGGATGAATGGGAGATGAGCTGCAGGTGCGTGAGCAGAGAGAACCTAGTGAAATCAATTAACTAATCAGGGAGAGGAAACTAAGCTGAGAAGGTAAAATAAACATCCATCCATCCATTTTCTGAACCCGCTTTGTCCATGCAGGGTCGGGGTGGGGGGTGGGGGGGTGTCAACCAGCGGTCAACGGGCAATCAGGCGGGTTACACCCTGGACAGAGAGCCAGTCCATTGCAGGACAACACAGAGACACACAGGACAAACAATCATGCACACACACACACACACACACATGCTCACACCTAGGGACAATTTGGACAGACCAATCAACCTAACAGTCATGTTTTTGGACTGTGGGAGGAAGCCGGAGTACCTGGAGAGAACCCACGCATGCACAGGGAGAACATGCTAACTCCATGCAGAAAGATCCCAGGACGGGAAGCGAACCCAGGACCTTCTCGCTACAAGGCAACAGCTCTAACCACTGCGCCACTGCGCAGCCTAAAATAAACATGACCTATGAATAATAACCAAAACCTAAAGACTGGGAGAACAAAATAAAGATCTAAGGAGAAAAGGAGAACTAATAAACTGGTGGGGAAGGACCAAGGAACCTAGGAGAAGAAAACCTGAACCTATGAGAACTATAGGAAAAAACTAGTTAGATAATACAAGAAAACAAGAACAGGTGAACCTGGGAAACCTGGTGGGAGCTGGAGGCAAGAAGGGGCACAGGAAGCTTAAGGGGAGAACCTGGAGTGGGCTGGGGAACAGAGGATACAGAACCTGAGGGGACACCTGGAGGGGGCTGTAGACAAGGGGACACATGAGGAACACAAGGAGACACATGAGGGAGATGCAGACGCAGACCATGACAATGCTCCAGCTTCTTAATACTTAAATTAGTCCTGGATTTGGTTTCGCAGCAGATGTCCCCGGATGGAGAGGGTGTTATCTGTGCTCTTCCAGTGAGATCCAGCTGCTTTGTAAACTATTAGATGTGTAAAGTGTTTTCCTCCGAGCTGAGCAGGTCACCTTCATGTCTCCTGAGTCTCACCACCCCACAACGATTTGAGAAAATTCAGGTTTTGCACTAAATATCCCTACAGCCATATCCCTTTCATGGTAATAAACGCTAGCTTTCCCTCCTGTGCACCTCCATTACCTGGATGCTCCCTTCCTGTCCAGTGAAATCATCCACAAATGATGCGGAGTAAGGTTTTAAAAGTACAAAACTCACCTCTAGGCAAAGAAAAAGCTTTTCCGTTTTAAACTCTGACTCAAGCAGAGAAGCTGTGGAAGAAATAATAACACTATTCTGATGCAGCCAGAGACCCAAAAGAGCCAGACTGAACCTCCTCTGACTGACAGAATGTTCTTGTTCCTCTCCCAAAAACACCGTTAAGGCATCTGTTCATCTGGGGGGTCTCAGTTATCGAGACCGTACTTAAGCTCAGCAAAAAAATGTACTTAAGCCAAGTAGGTTTGTGATCCATCAAACATGGAGTACGCACAGCTGCACGCAATCTCCGCTTCAGAAATCGGGGACTAACGAGAATGTTTCTCAGCTGCATTTTAGTGACATCCCGCCCTCACCACGCCCACTTACTGCCATAAATGGTCAATGCAAAGTGCCTTGTGGATCTCATGCAGATACATAAGCCGGCTCGTTGCAGCATTTCGATCACGACCGCAGATCAAGGAAGCGCTATTTCACAAGCAGGAATTCAGGTACCTGTGGGTGAGGTGGAGAAATGAAAGGAAGTGCTTTTGCAAAACAAATAAGAGGAAATCCACGGAGTGGCACAGCGTTGCTGAAGCCGTCAATGTTGTGAGTTCTTCAGAGAGATCTGTGGCAAAGTCACGCACGCTAACCAGTCAGCCAAACGGAGATCACCCCTTGTTCAGGTAGACAGGACACACACTGTCACAGACACATGGCATTCTGTCTCAATGATGATAAATGACCCGCACTTGTATAGCGCCTCTCAGAGTAAGGACTCCAAAGCGCTTTACACTACAGTGTCATCCATTCACACACACATTCACACACTGGTGGGGATGAGCTACAATGTAGCCACAGCTGCCCTGGGGCGCACTGACAGAGGCGAGGCTGCCGGGCACAGGCGCCACCGGTCCCTCCGACAGACCAAGGTCTTGCCCAAGGACACAACAGCAGAATTCTCTGTCCGGAGCCGGGATCGAACCTGCAACCTTCCGATTACTGGACAACCCGCTCAACCTGTTGAGCTACTGCTGCCCTCTGCTGATTTCTGCATTCCGTATTCTGGCTTTAGGCTGTGTGTGTGTGTGTGTGTGTGTGTGTGTGTGTGTGTGTGTGTGTGTGTGTGTGTGTGTGTGTGTGTGTGTGTGTGTGTGTGTGTGTGTGTGTGTGTGTGCGTGTGGGGGGGGTCTTGTTCTGTGTGAAAACGAAGCGGTACAAGAGATAATGGTGCAGGATTTCATTATTTTATCCTTGTCAGCAGCACTGCAGGTGCTCTCCATGTCCAGCATGTGTGTAAGCCAGGTCCTTAGTCAACTTAACGTTGCGCACATTTTTCCACTAAGTTTCTTTCATAAATCCCAAAGTTTGTGTGGAAAGTTGCTTACGCAGTTTTCCGACCCCGTTTTGTGCGTAAGCTAGCTTGATAAATGAGACCCCATTACCCTAAAACGCATGCTTAGTTTGTTTTATCCAGCGTGTGTTTGACCTTCTGGAGGAACCCAAAACATTCACCAAGATCTGATTCCATCATTCTCGAGCTCTTTTTTAATGAATAAGAGAAAAAAAACACATTTAGCTACAAACAGAAACTGTATAGAAGAACGGTTTCGACCTGATTGGAATAGACGAGAAGGGTTTCTTGTAGATGTCAGCCAGTTTGTCCATGACGACAGACGCCGCCGTGAAGATCCTGTATGTGTGCAGGAAGGTGTTGAGGAAGTCAATGGAGAGGAAGCGCAGGTCGGTCAGCCTCTCCAGCAGCCGCTCCACGCTGGCATACCGGATCTGGGGGACCTTGCAGGAGTTGAGCGTCTTGCTGAAGCAAATGTCAACATCATCTTTATGGAGGCGCACATCGGATCTGATGGACACACACACACACACACACACAATGACGCATGGGTGAATGCAGCAAACCAAAAAATATATACAAGTTAAGCCTAATTTGTTTATAATTGAATTATAATTTTCCAAAAATGGTACAAATTTGAATTACATTTTAAAATGTTGATATTTCATGATTAACAGACAAATAAAAGCCATATTTTATCTTGTTCTATGTCGTATTTGTGATCATTTTTGCTTTTCAAAAGCTTGCCGATCAAGAAAATGAGCTCAAACTCATTTCAGACGAGCAACAATAATACGGAATCCCTGGAAGGCAACGGGAAAAAAGACTTTTTTTTGTGGCATTTTGTTGCTCAGCCCAGAAACGTAAATGAAAAAGTGTTATTTTTTCTCCTAGAAATCTTCAGTGGGTTTTTTTCTCCATTTTTGCTCAACCTGGAAAGGCAAATGAAAAAATAAATCTCTTTTATGTATGTATTTTTCTATTACCTTTTCTATCCACCAGCTCTTGCTACAGCGAAGGTTGGCTCAGAAAATAAGAAGCTGTTCATTCCACCATAAATTTGGCTCAAGACATTTTGATATGTTTGTAAGTGAATAAAAAAATAGGCTGATTTTCAAATGTGTGACTTCATTTGTGGACATTTTAAAGAGACAATGTGTAGTTTTGACCTTTAATCTCTGGAAATATCCATCGGAATGTTATTAAAAGTTCATTAAATGATGCCCTGTTGTTGAAAAATATACACTATATAAATATAGACTATAAAAATCTGGTCTAAAACACTTGGGAGCGGGTCTAAGTCTCTAGGCGAGGTCATATTAGATGCCATATTTCCTTCTACAGGAGCCCATGAGGACAAAATGTATTTACTGATTTGTAACAAACGGTTACAAAACTTTCACTATTTATAAACATTGATGTTTTACACATTTTCCTCTTCGCTCGTTGCCAGTGATGAAAGGAAGTCTGATGTGTTAGCTATTTTGCTGAAATTTGCAGTCCCCGGGGCTTTTTGAACCTAATAGGCATCCATTGGTAAGGTCTTACTCCAACACAAAATACTTGCAATGATTTAGGCATCTAATGCCCCCTAAGGCCAGGAAAAATACACACTGTCACTTTAATGTCTTAATTCTCACCTAAAAACATGTCGAAATGTCTTTTATAGCCAAAACACTTTTTTTTTAGTTTGCCTTTGTGGGCTGAGCAAATAAATAAATAAATAAATAAATAAAATTGGGAAAAATCAAACATTTAAAAAAATGTTGGGTTTTTTTTTCCGTTGGCTTTCTGGGCTTCCATATAATAAACTGATTATTTTACATTTCAGCTTGTTTGTTTTTTTATTAGGGGAAAAGAAGCAAAAGTTGTTAAATATGCAACAGAACATTTTAGACCAAAGACGGATCCATCTTGCTTCTTTCATTTAAGCAGGTTGCAAACAGATGGAGCTTTTTGGGGGGCAAATTTCTTCTTTAATTTTGAAAAACCTTGAACACAATACAATTCTAAAAGCAAATTAAAAATGAATATAAGATGAAAAACGTTTTTGAGACATGGAAATAAAAGAATAGTTTCATTTCTGAATAGCAGTTATTCACTTTCAAATCTGTTTAGAAACACTTTTATCTCTAATAGAAAATATCTACGTTCACAGAAACCTTCTTTTGTTTTCCACCAGCATGCAAACATAGTTGTGTGCATGGAAGTAATTTTGGGGGGGGGGGGACAGGGGGGACATGTCCCCCCCCACTTTTTCCAAAGTCAAGTTTTGACCCCTGCACTTTTTACCATCCAAAAATAATATTACGCTATATTAAATTGACACTGGCTGAGCACTAGGACCAAGCGGACAACAACCGTTGAAGCCGGTTTCCCATTAGAACATACTGTAAAGATACCCCCCCCCCCCCCCCCCCGTGTCCCCCCCACTTCTAAAGTGAAAATTACGTCCTTGGTTGTGTGTTTGTTTGTAAACCCAAAACCCCAAAGGAGGAACTCAAATCTGCTACACAAATGTCAAATAAAGCATTTTGAAAGATAAAATGATGGAAAAAAAACACAAGCACAAAAATCTGTGAGCACAAATTAAAATCCTTGGAAATGCCAACGTTGGCTTTTTATCTTGGTGTTAATAAATGCTAGTGTTCATGCCAGTTTCATTATGCTTTGGACAGTTATTTGGCAGCAGGTGCTTAGGATGAAGGCATGGGTGTTTATCCACATTTATACTGGAATACTTACTTGATCATGTGAGGCACGGTGACTTTGGAGTTTTCCTCAAATACGCTGGTCATCAAGCCATTACAGCGGATGTTATCGATGCACTGCAGAGTCAGGGAGGACGGGGAGAAAAAGGACAAGAGCTTACGACCGTTTTAAACACGGTAATTCATTCAGGATTTTATACTTTCTCCCATTTTTGTTGGAAAACAATGACGTGAAACAGAAGCCATTTAAAAGCAGTCTTTGTGTTTTACTGTCTGACAAGATTTAATCCAGCCTGACACACCTGGACGGTGCTACCTTGTTTGCGAAGAGCTGAGGCAGTGAGCCGAACTCGACCCAGGGGAACTGTATCGCCGTCTGTGTTTACTCATCACTAGGCCTTCCCAATGCCCAGCAGAGATGTGCACTTGCTGCTTGGAGGTTCTTGTTAATACGTGTTTGTCATGGTGTGTTCTGGGGGGGGGGGGGGGGGGGGGGGGGGGGTATTACCTGGCTAATATCACTGGTCCAAGCAGCCTTCTCCTGTCGTGATGGTGCCAGTAGGACCACGGTGAACGGAGGTGAGTCTGATGGCTCCACTACCAGCTTAAAGTCAAGCTGACCAAACACCTGACCGCCAACTTTAGCTGCAGTAGTGAGAAAATAAATCCCAATTTTACTGTAAAACAGGAAATTAACATTTGGGCCCTGTCCACACGTAGCCGGGGATCTGCCAAAACGTAGATATTTTCCTACGTTTTGGCCTGTCATCCACACGAAAACGGAGTTTTTTCACACGAAAACGGATCTTTTTAAAAACTCCGGCCAAAGTGAAGATCTGCGTTTTCTCCGTTTTGGGTGTCTGCGTGTGGACAGACAAAACCGGAGTTTTAAGGTCCGCAACGCCACTTTCCGCGACAAAAAAAATGCTGACATCACGTGTGCGACCTGTGTTTACACTAGCCGACAGCATGGATGCCCTCAGAGCTGCGCTCGCTTTATCAATTGTCCAAGCGCTTTCTGCTTGTTTGTTTTTGCAAGCGGAATTACTGCTCCTTGCGGAAGACCACAGACGAAGGACGAGGTTAAGAACGGGGGAAGTACTGCCGCCTACAGGTCTGGCATGTCCTTAACAACGTATTTATCCGGGTACGTGTGGACAAAGTTGTTTTTTTAAACGAGGTGGTGTGGATGCAAGTTTTTGGAGGGGCGGATATTCGATTTTAAAAAAAAAACGGCTACGTGTGGACTAGGCCTAAGTGTGGTAAAAAGTAAAATGCACGCATGGAGATGGGGTTAAATAGGCTGTGTGTGTGTGTGTGTGTGTGTGTGTGTGTGTGTGGAAGGCCAACAAGCTCCCTAATTGCAAATTTATAAGGGGAGGGGGGGTCCTGTAAAGTTAAAAGTTCAAAACCTGGTATTTAGAAGGGTGAACATCTGATATTTAATGGAAGTAATTCTAGACAGTTATTGTTTGACATCTAATTAACCTTCATAAAACGGATGAGGAGTTTAAGGGAGCCAATAAAAGCTGCTCATGAGTGGAAGAGGCAGAGACATTAAACTTACAGTCATCGTCACTGGCGTCTGGTTCCTCTATCAGTGTGCACTCAATCAGGGACAAAACACCCCCTTGCTGTTGGACATCAGAACGCGAACACAAATATTTAGATCACTATTTTCCTCTCAGGTGTCGTTTCACACTTCTGGAAGAGCGCGGATGCTACCTTCAGCAGGTGCAGCTTTCCCCCAGAGCTGCGAGTGCAGACGAGGAAGTGTTTGGTGAAGAGGAAACATTGTCTTTCTCCCTCCTTCTTCAGCGACAGAGAGCCCAAACGGACCTTGCTCAGTTTCCCTCGCTCCACCGATGGCAGCTGGATCAGAGAGCCTGTGGAGCCGGAGGGGGCAGAGGATTACAACATTTCATTAAGCTCACACTAATCTGTGGGCTGTGTTTACCAAGCGTCTGCAGGGAAGAAACTCCTGCTTTTGATGTGCTCAGTCGACAAAGTAAAGAGATTGTAAAAAATAAAGGATTAAGTCTGGCGAGTTTTGACATTTGTCTCATCTTGCTGAACAGAAACTCAAGAGCCATCCTGTTTTCTGAGTCATCTCCAACAACTAAGCTCAGCCCGATCTCTCGTGTGAAGCAACCTGCCATGCCACAACATTAAGACCCAGTGTTGGGAGTAAGGCGGTACAAAAGTAATTAATTACTGTAATGCATTGCTTTTTGCTGTAATGTGGTAATGTAAGGCATTACAGGGAAAGAAAATGGTAATATTTACTCGGTACAATTGTCAGTAACGCGGTAGTTACAATGCATTTTTAAACCCAGAATCAAGATGTGGGTTTCCTAAAAATTCAAATTGCGGGAAGCCTGAAAAAAGATCCAGAATCTACATATATGACGTCATTTATGGACTCAGCTTTGCGGGCATTCTACGAGCAGAGAGGACGCAGCGGTAATGGTTCAAATACTCCAGCTGCGTCCTGCGCGCGGCCGCTGTTATATTCACAAAACCGCTCCACCAAAACAAAGTAATTCGTTTGCAATCGTTTATATCAGCCCCTATTCTCTGGTACTTCATGTACTTTTCAGCTGAGTTCGTAATCTGTGCCCCGGTGATTTCAACTCATTGCTGCTGGAGCGCAGCGCAGATTAAGCTTTTTTATTTATTTATTTATTTATTGTGTTCGGCAGATCCCTTTGGATGATTAGTTAGAAAGTAGGAAATCTAGAAAACAGATTTTCTGGAAGACGGAGAAAACATGCAGCATGCAGGAAGGTTAGAGAGAGAAAGGGCAGAAAATGATTCACATAAAATCAAGAAAACAAAACAAAGTGCTTGAAAAGAAAAAAAGAAGGCAGATTTATCCCCAATACACATTTTTACCAGTGAAAAGCATTAATATATAAGCATTTAATATTTATACATGTGATAAAATCAGATCACCCCAGAAGTCAGTCCCACATCCAGGGCCGTATCAAGGCATTTGGGGACCAAGGCAAATATAGGCTTGGAGCCCCCGCCACCTCACTTCCTGCTCAGTTAATATAAGATGGCAGCGTGCTGAGAGTACAGATTGTTGTTGCTTTTATTTAATAAACAATCATTTTAAAGCACCGTTATTATATCTGACTGTTTTTAACAGCAATCCTAGCTCAGACACCACATCACCTTCCACATATATGTCATGAGCTCACTGAGCGTCACATTACCAGATTCATACTGAAGATGTTTTGGTGAAAGTAACTTAAAATAATGCTAAAGTTGTGTAATGCCTTACATTTTCGAGTGAATTCCTGCACTTGGTCTTCTACCCCCGTGCTGCATTCGACACAAGCCCCGTTTTGGCAAACATCGCCCTTCTTTGGTAAAACCAACTCTTAGAGGCAGTCAAACAAACTGCTTCCTAATCCATAAAAACAGTGAAGCAAGTCTGATCATTAAAAGGAAAATCAGAAGAAAAAACACCTGCTGCCTGCAATCAGGTGCAAAACACTACACGACCCTCAGGTTCTGCATAAAAGCTCATGTGGGTCACAGGAGACAAGAGATTCTTACATCATTAAGTTTGAAGTGGAAAGCTGCTTCCAACCAGTCCGATAGGACTGATCTGAAACAACTGATGCTGAATATTTGAATTAAAATGTGAATCCTGGATGAACACTGATGCTTTTATCTGATCTTTGAGATTCAAGCAGGTTTCATTTGGTTTTAGATTTTGTTTTCCACCTGGTTCTCCCCTCCCCGCAGCTCGGCGCATCTCTGTCTTATCGCAGCTTCTGTCTGCTGAGCGGGCTGCCGGCTTGTGGCGCTCTGGGATGGAAACCTTTCCACCCGGTTCTCCCCAGCGGCAGCTCTGCGCATCTCAGATCGCAGCGGCGCTTGTCTGCTGTGCGGCTGCCGGCTTGTGGAGCTCTCGGGAGACCTCTGTGTTCCACCCGGTTTTACCCAGCGGTCAGCCCGGCGTATCTCTGACTCAGAAGCTCTGGTGTTGTGCACAGTTAACTCCGGTTGTAGCTAGGTAGCTACCGCCGTTAGCTTAGCTCCCACCTCCGCGTTAGCTTTGGGTTAGCTTCAGGTTAGCTTGTAGCTAGTTCGACCGGGTGTCGTCAGCTGATCCCAGCCTTACAGCCCCACCCTCAGCTCCACCACTCTTCCCTTTTGTGGAATTGTCTGGGCTTGACGGAACCTGTGACACGGTCAAAATGGCGGTGGTGGCCACCTCCCATTTCCCCTCAAAAACGTGTTATTGGAGCCTATGGAAACCCAATGTCCATATATGTATGTCGATGGTTTAAAAGCATGAACAACTCCCTCAGAGGAGGAAAATGAAAAAATGTCAATTTAATTTGCAAACTGACGTATTTAGCCGACTGGAGAAGGGCGGCTTGCAAACTCCAGGTCAGGAGAGAGGTCCTGCCTCAAGTGGAGGAGTTAAAGTATCTCGGGGTCTTGTTCATGAGTGAGGGAAGGAGGGAGATCGACAGGCAGGATTGGGGCAGCGTCTGCAATGATGCGGACACTGAACTGGTCTGTTGTGGTGAAGAAGGAGCTGAGCCGCCCAGTCCTCACCTATGGTCATGAGCGTTGGGTAATTTAGTGTGACACTGAGGACAGTAAACTACTAAAGCACTCCTCCTCTCTCTCTCAGGGGCTTCTTGTTTGAAAACCAGGTCCAGTTGATTTGTACAGTCCACTCACGTACATTAACTACAGAAAAAAAGAAAAACACCTCTGTTCGTGAAGAAGATTGCGGATACAAGCAACCAAAATTAGTTTTCTCTGTGGGGTGGCTGGGCACAGCCTTAGGGATAGGGTGAGGAGCTCGGACATTCAGGAGAGACTCGGAGTAGAGCCACTGCTCCTCCATATCGAGAGGCGTCAGTTTAGGTGGTTTGGGCTTCTTCCGGCCCTTGGAGGGTGCAGATGTTTATTTCCTCCTCTCCTCCATATCTTATCCTCAAGCCCTTTGTCTGTCTGTGGGTGCTGGGTGCACGGCTGCTTCTGCATTTTTCTGGAAACTGAAATCACTCAAATGGATCTCATCAGTTGGTCACTCAACGCGATTGATAAAATGTTTTCAAAGATGAGAACGGGAGAAGGAGCTCCCGGATGCCCCGTCGGGACAGACCCAGTTGGACACATCATGGACTCCTGGAAACAGCGGAACTTGATTTGTTTATCTCAGCTGTCTGTGGAGGACACTGAAGACGTGTGGATATTCATGGTGTTGGTGTCAGGTTTCCTGCTCATTGGCCTTGGAGGCTTCCTGCTTACCGGAAAATTAATGAGCTGTCGAGGAATATTGGCCTGATCCCGGAGCTCAGAGATGATTTGCACCGCGCTGTGAATTCACAGACTCACATAATTGTCGCAATGAATCATAAGCTTGGAACTTTGGCTGAGATTCATTCGTTGGCACAAAAGATGGATGCCATCAAGGAGAGAGTGGACGAATCAGCACGGATTGGGATAGTTTAATGTCCATTATTGGGATTTTGAGAGGCTGAGGACCAACAAACTGTAAGGCACAGAGGAAATTATCTCTGTCTGGCCCCAAAACAATTTCTAATCTTAATCTGGCGCCCTTGAGCCTGCAAGGCTCCAATGAAAACTCCCCCCTCAGAAGATATGTGGAATGTGTCGTCGCTATGGCAACTCAACTCTGTATCCTTTCCCAGCCTGGGCGGGACAGCGGGAAGGCCTCTGAAACGTTCCAGGGTCACTGCAACCCTCCACCCCTCAATGCTCCTCCCCCTATCCACACTGAGGTGACATACGCTGCTTATTGTGGCTGCAGGAACTGAAGTGGGGATAGTCCCAACCCACCAACCCACCACCCCACCTAGTGGACACTTATGTTGTGATGTCTGAAGTCTGTTGCATATCTGTCTGAGGTGTTTTTTTGCAGAGCAAAGCTGCCCTCCCGGTGGAGGGTAACTCTGAAGGGCCTTTTTTTCCCTCCACCTGAACCAATCCTCATGTAACCCTCTTATCTCTATTAAGGTAGCGCGACTCAGGGTTGCGAATGACCACAGTCACCAACTCTTGTCATGTGTCTTGCCCATGTATGTCTGATCTCTGAATTGTGTGTACTGAAACTCTAATTTCCCTCTTGGATTAATAAATTATCTTTGATGTGATTGATTGATTTGTTTGGATGCCTCCTGGACGCCTCCCCAGGAAGGTGTTTCAGGCATGTCCTGCCGGCAGGAGGCCCCCTGGTCGACCCAGGACAAGTTGGAGAAAATACATCTCTGAAGTGGCCGGGGAGAGGACGGTCTGGAACTCCCTAGTTGGGATACTGCCCCCGCGACCCGGACCCAGATAGGCGAAAGAAGACGAGAAATATTTAATTTCACATGTTTTAGAGACTGAGGTGACCATGCTTGTTGCTGCAGATCTTCTTAAACACCAAAACCCCCATGTGGTCATTTTGACCACTGTGCAATTTGCAATGTTTAATTACTTTATCGAACAAAACTTAAAGCTCTGCTAGTCCCTGACTTTTCCTTGATGCATGATTATTATTATTTAAAGGACACATTTCTTTTCTCATTTTGAACCTCAACCCCTAAGGGCGCCTGCTGATGATGAAGACTCACCCTGCCTGACGAAGGTCTGGCTGGTGTCCAGCAGGATGTCACAGCCTTCAACAATCATCCTCTCTATGGCCAGATTCTTCCTGATGTTTTCCGTGTCGCTCACCTCATCGTGCATTACCCTGGTTACACACACACATTATTTCAAGGTTGTATCTGTATATATTAGTAAAAAAAACAGCAGAACACTCTGAAACAAACCTGGACAATTCTTCTAATTTAGATTTGGCAAATTCCAGACTCTTGCGCTCCACGTGCTCATGAGGTGTGTGAGCCAGTAATTCATGCAGGGTTATGATGTAACGAGGAATCTTTAGTAAAGAAAATAGGATACAGTCAGAATTATTACACAGAAAGGAACTAGATCTATGAAATGTTTGGAAAATTGAGTGTGCAGGGCTGTTTCCTGTCTACCTGGAACATGGGATACGTGAGGAATGTCTCGAGCATCCTTCCCTCACAGGCAGCATTAGACTCGTACTGTTTCAGCAGCTTGTCAAAGTCTCTGTTCTGCTTGCAGTTGGCTAAGACTTGCAGGCTGTACTGATGGTTACGCACAAACTCCTGGTAGATGTTCAGCATTGGCAGCAGGATGTCGAACAAGTCAGCTGGAAAGAAAACCACACATGAATTTACAGTAAGGTATGAAGGTAACAGACCAGACAGCTGTATAATCTGGTGCTCATAAAAAGAGCTGTTTCCAGAAAGTGTACAGTCACAGTTTATCTGGATGGAATTTGATTGTCCCTCATAACTGTGTATTGTTTTTGTGATGCTGATCCTGTCCACATTTGTGATTGGTTGTTTTGTTTGAACTCATGTAGCTCAGTTCTGCTCAGCCTCCCCCCAAACAATGACAATGTTGGAAATGAGGTTCTGGTTGTTTGTGGAGCAAGAGTGTAATGGCTTTATGGCTTGAGTAATGGTAGGATGGAGCGAGAGATGGATTGCTTCTATCTGTTGTGGTAAAGAAGGAGAGAAGCTAAAAGGTTGAAGCTATCAATTTAGTGATCTGCGTTCCAACCCAGACCGATGGTCCCCAGGAATCGGATCGAGATTGAAAGAATAAGAGAGAGTTCATTGAATTAGCATAAGCTAAGGGTAAAACAGCTCTTCCTCTACATTGTAAAGAGCTGGTTGAGATGCTTTGAGATGGCTTCTGATTAGGATGCCCCCTGGTTGCATTGGTCTTGAGGGTTTTAGAGATGTCCCACTGAAGGGGTTTTATTTCCTCTTTGACCTGTTATTGGATGGATGGATGGATGGATGGATGGATGGAAGGATGGATGGATGGATGATGAAAGTGTGGATGGATGGATGGATGGATGGATGATGAAAGAGTAGATGGATGGATGGATGATGAAAGAGTGGATGGACAGATGGAATATGACAAAAGTGTGGATGGATGATGATGAAAGAGTGGATGGATGGATGGATGGATGGATGGATGGATGGATGGAAGGAAGGATGGATGGATGGATGATGAAAGTGTGGATGGATGGATGGATGGATGGATGATGAAAGAGTAGATGGATGGATGGATGGATGATGAAAGAGTGGATGGACAGATGGAATATGACAAAGGTGTGGATGGATGATGATGAAAGAGTGGATGGATGGATGGATGGATGGATGATGAAAGTGTGGATGGATGGATGGATGGATGGATGGATGATGAAAGAGTAGATGGACAGATGGAATATAACAAAAGTGTGGATGGATGATGATGAAAGAGTGGATGGATGGATGGATGGATGGATGGATGGATGATGAAAGTGTGGATGGACAGATGAAATATGATGAAAGTGTGGATGGATGATGATGAAAGGATGGATGGATGGATGGATGGATGGATGGATGGATGGATGGACGGACGGATGGATGGATGGATGGATGATGATGAAAGAGTGGATGGATGGATGGATGGATGGATGGATGGATGGATGGATGATGATGAAAGAGTGGATGGATGGATGGATGGATGGATGATGATGAAAGTGTGGATGGATGATGATGAAAGAGTGGATGGATGGATGGATGGATGGGTGGATGATGATGAAAGAGTAGATGGATGGAAGGATGGATAGATGGACGGATGCATGGATGGATGGGTGGATGGATGGATGGAATATGATGAAAGTGTGGATGGATGATGATGAAAGAGTAGATGGATGGATGGATGGATGATGATGATGATGAAAGAGTAGATGGATGGATGGATGGATGGATGGATGATGATGATGAAAGAGTAGATGGATGGATGGATGGGTGGATGGACGGATGCATGGATGGACGGATGCATGGATGGACGGATGGATGGATGGATTTTGTAATCAGCTATGTTTAAAAGTGGCCCTGTGAGATTTGATCTCTCTAAAGACCTTTGGGTATAATTTCATGTTCTAGAGACACAATTTTAATTGCACAATGTTTCCTGTCAACACCTTTATTTCAGTTCTTAGTCTACAACAAAACATGTATGATTTCTCTGTTTGTCTCTGTGTTTAGCTGTCGTGTGGAGAGACTAAAGGCTGAAATCCCTTCATTTAGATGTGCTCCAACATAATAAATCAGAAAAAAACAAAACAAAGAAAGTCATTAAGACTCCATAAGAGACTCATTCTCAGCCACGAACTTAACAGACAAGATTAGTGAGAGTCACATCCTTCCTCTGACTTTAATAATGTGTTTATTAGTCCATAATGGACTACAGGCTGCAGAATTTTTAATGAAGCAATTTCATCAACTAAAATTACCTTGCTATGAAAAGCTGTATACTTCTAAATGGTGCGTTCAAGGCCTAAACATGAGAGTAAAAAATAAGCACAAAAATAACAAAAAACAAAACAGCAATCAGATGTGAAACCTGGTAATAATTAAATAATTACAGAAAACTTTTAGCATGTTCAATTAGTGAAAGGTCAGTGCAGGTTGAAGGCAGAGCGTCATTGTAAACACTTCTAAAACGTCGTAAATAACACCGCAAAACATCTGTTGATACAGAAATTGTAAGATATAAAACATTCTTTTGATAAAAAGTCGACATTCAGCGTCTGCCTGAACAAAAAAAATAGTCCTATAAGGTCGACAAGTTTAATCAGCATCCTCCTCTCTTTGTTATTTGTCACAAGTAATGTGCTGCCACATCTTTCAGCCGCCTGTCTCCTAGGTGATGCTTATCTGTTTAGGGGGACTGTTTTAGGAGGACATGCCTCCCAGCCTGGGTGATCTTTGTCTGTCAGGACAATGAGTCTGCTGCTGGTTGGAGGCCAAGATAGAAAAGTGTGTGTGTGTGTGTGTGCGTGCGTGCGTGCGTGCGTGTGTGTGTGTGTGTGTGTGTGTGTGTGTGTGTGTGTGTGTGTGTAGGGCGGCCTGAGCATCAGCAGTGACGTCTGTTCAGTGCGAGACAAACTGAAAGCTGAGAATTGGTGAAAACCTGGCCTTCGTGTTACTGAGCAGCTCCAGAGAGTGTGAGCAGAGTGTGTGTTTGTGTGTTTTGTAAGGTCACAGCTTACCCAGCACCAGAGTGGGCCAGTTGGCTATCCGAGCCTTCAAGCCTTGATGGAAAATCTCATGCAGGAACATGATGGTCTCACTGGTGAAACGTCATGAACAGAACATGGATGTAGTTAGTTTTTTAAAGATCAAGTTCACTCACATTTGATTAAATTTGCAGTACTCTCTAGTAGGAATGTCTGGAATGCCTTGTAAGTCATTTTCTGCAGAAACAATGCTCAGACGCCAATGTTTATGGACGTAGAAGTCGGTTGGTAGAGAAAGCGGCAGCAGACGGCAGGATTTGGAGTCTTATTTCCTGATATTTGGAAATCTTGCTTCTGACTGGTTAACATCAATTCAACTCTACCACTGCCTTTTTTTATTCTCTACCAGAAGATGATGCCGGGAACGGGGGTAGAAGACTGTTTTCATGTTCAGCCTGCATGTTAAACTCAGAGCGACCCATCATTTTCATTTATGGTAAGAATTTTTGTCCGCTTATCCAGAGTCGTGTCGCGGGGGCAGCAGCCTAAGCAGAGAGGCCCAGACTTCCCTCTCCCCACCATTTGGGCCAGCTCATGCAAGGGATCCCAAGGCGTTCTCTGGCCAACCAGAAAACATAAACCTCCCAACATAAGCCCCTTCCACGCTAGCGTCAGCTCCACTCCATCAGTTCCAGCCCACCCTAGCCTGGCCGGGTTGATTACACACATCCTTTCACACATCCTTAGGAATGCGGACATGACTGAGCACATGGGCCGTCTCCAAAATTGGTGCAAAGATATCAGTGATGTCATGAGCGAGTAGAGCCGGTGCTAGTGTGGAAGCCCTATTAGTCCCTCTAGCACAGGGATTCCCTAAGTGTGGTGCGCGCACCCCTGGGGATGCGCGAGCTGCCGCTAGGGGGTGCACGAGGTGAAAAGTGTAATGACTGCGGATGTTGGGTATTTTTATAAATGTACCTTTTTGAGACCTAAAAGATGCCCATTACACATCATGAATCTCTGTGTTGGTGTGTTCATAAAAAGGTTGAGCAAAGATGTTAATTGAGAGAACTCTGTACCTCTGTAATTTGAGAAGGTCCGCCTTCTCCCCTCACCCGTTGCTCGAATAAAACCACTGAAGGCTCTGGAGGACGGGGGGAGTCGCCTGGCAGCTAGCTCTGGAGAGAGTTATGTGTCATGGTGATCTCCCCCCCATTTGGCTAATTCAGTGTAAAATGTCTTCCTTGTTGTCACGTGTGTTTATTTCAGGTTCCAGGGTTATGGAGGTTAAATATTATCTAACAGATAATTGGAGAATGCAGGTATGCAAAGCTGGTAAGAGCAGAAGGCTGAGGCTGGAGCAGAATGGGGCCTGGTTGAGCCACACACATGGACATTACAAATAATCAATTTACTCTCTCTCTCTCTCCCTCCGGGTGTGTCGTCCTTTAAGGTAATATGGGATAAAATCAAATTAACTAACAGCGGAGCTCAGGGAAGTCTGTCAGATGTCACCATTAGCGTAGCCAGAAACTCATTTGTGGGTGGGCCTAAGAAAAAGTAATTGGGCCCAATAAACGTAATTGAAAAAAAGTATATTTTGCGCATGTGTGTGTGTGTGTGTGTGTGTGTGTGTCCTCCACATGTGCCCTAACTTCATAATAACAATGCGCCGAGCTTCAGCACTCTGGCCTGCGCACGCCGACTTGTTCCATATTTGATCATTTTTATCGGTGTTGGAGAAATCTGAAGGTGGCGAGTCATTCTGGCAGATTGTAATTAACACCTGTCTCATGCAGGTGTTCTGACATTGTAAACCTCACACACAGAACATTGTGGATGTAACTAAATAACAAGAAATGATTCCCATCTGAGCATTTTAGCATTATTATATTTTTAAATTAGCACCAGGCGCATTGCAAGATTTTCAGAAGTGTGGGGGTTGTTGTCTGTGCCTAAAATAATTTCATGTTATTCATCTTGTTAGTTTAATTTCCATAACAGCGGAGCAGGTGCGGATTTTAGACGCGTCACGCACGTCTCCGTTTTAAACATGTTTAAACTGTTCAGAATACAAATCCAGGCTCTGTCTCATTAGATTGGTGCAACTAAAGTTTGTACTGAATGAAACTTTACATTCAACCATGTTGAAGAGAAAAGGATCCGATTAAATCGTTTCCCCCTCATTTTACAGTCAGGAAGTACAGCGCAGTGCGCATGACTCTGGGGTTAATCAAGTTTAGTTGTTTCTCTTTGCAACAATCTTCACAAGAAGACAAAACAGTTAAATGGCAGGTTACAGATATTTCCATTTGATTGTTTATTTTGACGGATAAACTCAAGAATGCTGGTTGTTTTGAAAGAATTACCCCGACGCACACTGATGCGCACACAGAGGAGCTGACATTTTAATCGTTACGCACATCGCGGAGGTAACTAAATCAATCAAGAAATGATTCCCGTCAGAACATCAGAGCTTTATACTGGACACTGTGTTCAGCGCGTCTCGGAGCGCCCACGGTGGACAGTGAGCTGAAGATCTAGAGGGGAGCGCAGCGCAGAACCACAGCACATGCGGTAAGATTTCCTCCCACTGAAGCGGTCTGGAAACCCGGTCTCTCTGAGGGATGTGTCACTTGGAAAAATGTTCCCTGATTATGAGACTTTGGCTGAATAGCGCTTGTTCCTGTCTAATATGGAGACGCATGACGCATCCATTCTGAGGCAGAATCGCCTCTTCAGCTCAGAAAGCACCTGTAGAGACATTTGATCACGCACAAAGTTTATGTGGAGCAGAAGCGGTCGGGCCACGGCAGGTGAAATGTTCCTAGCCTACAAGAAGAGAAACTGTTTAACTGTAACATTAATGTGTTACTGGTCTGGTTGATTAGACCAGTGTTTGATGTGGAAAACACACACACACACACACACACACAGAGATTCATTAAGCGCACCCTGCACAAACTCCGGCGCGCCGTCAGACTGAAGGCAGAAATGAGCGCTGCCTCCTCCGTGCTAAAAACTTTTAAGAGATTTTATGATAACATTTTTCATTCAAGGCCAAATTACGATATTAGCTTCTATTTTGGGATGACGTATTAAAGTCGAGTCCGCTCCAGCCAGTGACTCCGAACCTGACTACAACTAATGTTACTGCAGCATTTCTTATTCCTGTCCGCATGGCAGCGGATCGCAGATTCAGCCACACCATAAAACAGCAATAAGTCGGTCTGAGGCAAAAGTGAACCTCATGGCTATAGCTCTTCCATCTTTTCCCCTATAGACATTTGATTACGCACAAATAGATGGCCCGTTCAGGTTTACGCAGAGCAGAAGGAAGGAGAAACGTTCCTACTTTAGAAAACACGTTAAATTGCATTGTTTATGTGCTACCTGGGCACTCTAAATGTTTATTTAAAATTAAATCAAAGGAAATTGTAATGGTATTTATGTTGATTAATTACTATTTAAAAAATGAAAGTGATGGGGAAAAAGGTCGATCATATTTTTTTAGCCCTGTCTGTCGAGTGACTGTTTAGCTTGACGTCTGATATATATATATATATATATATATATATATATATATATATATATATATAGATATTTATCTATATATATATATATATATATATATAGATATATATATATATATATATATATATATATATATATATATATATATATATATATATATATATATATATATATATATATCTCTATATATATATATATATATATATATATATATATATATATATATATATATATATATATATATATATATAGATATATATATAGATATAGATATATATATATATATACATATATATATATATATATATATATATATATAGATATATAGATATATATATAGATATATATATAGATATATAGATATAGATATAGATATAGATATATATATAGATAGATAGCCATGCCCTGATGTGGGGGGCTAGGGGGTGCGTCGACATGGTCGGGACATAGAAGGGGTGCGCGGCTAAATAAGTTTGGGAACCACTGCTTTAGCATGTCCTGGGTCTTCCTTTAGGTCTCCACCCAGTTGGACGTGCCCAGAAAACCTCACCAGGGAGGTGTCCAGGAGCCATTCTACCCAGAGCTCAACTGGCTTCTCTCTCCTTTCTCAGTGAACCTGCTCTTCAAAGGGGACAAAGAATCAAAACCAACATTTTCTTGTTGTTGGTGAATAAAGACAGCTTGGGTGATCAAACGCAGCACGCCAAAAAGTCAAAGCCGTGTGTGACCTACTTTTTATGTAAATTAGAAAGTTTAAAAATGCCGAGCACAATTCGAGAACAGATTATGAAAGAACGGATAACGCTCAAAACGCGCAGATTCTTCCTGATGCAAGAGGCGAGTCTCCGCTTTGTTTAGGTAGTTTTGGCGTTGACATCATCCTAGCGCGCAACGTTCTGTGACTCTTGAAAAAAACGGTGAAAATGCTGAAAAACGCTGGCAGCGAAGGGCTTTTCTGATCAGGAAACGGCTGGCAGTGAACGAGTTAAAAACAACTGATGCGTCTTCACTGACACACACACACCTGTTGAGGAAGATGCTGCTCACGTCGTCGTGGCTGATGGGGGGTTTTTTGGAGCTGGCAGCCATCCGCAGTGGTCTGAGGAAACAGTTGACCAGAATGTAGAGCTGGTGGACATACCTGCCACCACACAAACAGAATAACAACAATAAATAAAAAATATTGCTCTTGTGAACAAATAACACATATTTCTATTCAAGCTGCTCGGATCATCACAGCTTAGATGAACATCACTTTAGGAGTGTGTTCAGCTGGTCCCCCTTCAGCCAGTCTTACAAAATTACATTTAAGCAAATTGTTATCTTGCTAGTTTCATAGGAGGATAACGGTAAGAGTTCTGCTGCAGCATGGGCCGTCGCTCTAGGCACAACGCATTTACATACTCTGTTTCTGCCTCCACCATGTTGAAAACAATCTGGTTCCTCTTCCTCATGCTCTCAGCGTGAGGAGAACAAATGTAGTCCTGAACTATGATTTTCCACTTCCTGCGACAGAGCCAGCCTCGCATGAAACTCTGCACCTGTGGATGCAAAGATGGATATGTGTGTGTGTGTGTGCGTTTGTGTGTGTTAGAACAAGAGCCAGATAGACAATGAAAACAATCAGAGAGCTGCTTTTGTACCTTTTTGATCTTTTTGATGTCTGGGTCGTCATTTTCATGGTAGACATGATAGGGTCGCATCCGCTCCTTGGTTTTATTCAAAGCGACAATCTTTAAAAACAGAAGATTTAAGTTTGAGCTTATCAAAAGTGCATTTTGTGTGTTTATGGATTCAGATTGAATGAAATACACGTGTAAATGGCCTGTATTTGATATAGCGCCTTCTAGAGTTCTGGAACTCCCCAAGGCGCTTTACAACGCCATCAGTTATTCACCCATTCACACACACATCCACACCCTGATGGTGATGAGCTACATTGTAGCCACAGCTGCCCTGGGGCGCACTGACAAAGGTGAGTCTGCCGAGCACAGGCGCCACCGGTCCCTCCGACCACCACCAGCAAGCAAGGTGGATTAAGTGCCTTGCCCAAGGACTAGGGCTGCACGATATTAGGAAAACCTGCGTTATTCGATAACAGTGATTAATATGCGATGACGATATTCCTCGCGATAAATAAAAACTTAACTCAGGAACAAAAATAATCAAAAACAAAAATAAAAAAATCATCAAAATGAGAAAAGCAAAAGATGTGAGAAAGGGGAAAAAGAAAGTGAACAAGAAAAGGCGATCCGTGGATCCCGGGAAAAGCAGAATCAGCAAAAAGAGCAGAACAAAGATAACTCGGGTGTTTGCTAACCATCTAAATCAAATCAAATCAATCAAAGATACTTTATTAATCCCAGAGGGAAATTAGAGTTTCAGTACACACAATTCAGAGATCAGACATACATGGGCAAGACACATGACAAGAATTGTGTTTTGGCACTATATAAATAAAACTGAATTGAATTGAATTGAATTGGTGACTGTGGTCATTCGCAACCCTGAATCGCACTAGCTTAATAGAGATAAGAGGGTTACATGAGGATTGGTTCAGGTGGAGGGAAAAAAAAGACACTTCAGAGTTACCCTCCACCAGGAGGGCAGCTTTGCTCTGCAAAAAAAACACCTCAACAGATATGCAACAGACTTCAGACAACACAACATAAGTGTCCACTAGGTGGGGTGGTGGGTTGGGACTATCCCTACTTCAGTTCCTGCAGCCATGATAAGCAGCACATGTCACCTCAGTGTTGAAAGGGGGAGGAGCATTGAGGGTTGGAGGGTTGCAGTGACCCTGGAACGTTTCAGCGGCCTTCCTGCAGTCCCACCCAGGCTGGGAAAGGAGACAGAGTTGAGTTGCCATAGTGACGGCACATTCCACATATCTTCTGAGGGGGGAGTTTTCGTTTGAGCCTTGCAGGCTCAAGGGCGCCAGATTCCAATTAGAAATTGTTTTGGGGCCAGACAGAGATAATTTCCTCTCTGTCTTACAGTTTGTTGGTCCTCACCTCTCAACATCCCAATAATGGACATTAATCTATCCCACTCCGTTCGTCCACTCTATCCTTGGTGGCATCCATCTTTTGTACCAAAGAATAAATATCCGCCAAAGTCCCAAGCTTACGATTCATCTCGAAATGAAGTGCCGCCCGCCTCGGGGGCGGGCATCTAACCTATGAGAACCCACCCAATTGGCCAAATAGGTGAAGAGCTCTGCTTGATTTGTTAAAAAAAAACATCATGATTCCGTTTGATTGACAGAATGCATCATGCGTAGCAAACATTTGAGCTGACCATTCATTGCGATATTTACCTGTTCTTCGTGATAAGCATATTGTGCATGCTGATATCGCGATAATGATATATGTACAATATATTGTGCGGCCCTACCAAGGACACAATGACAGCGACAGACTGAGCGTGGCTTGAACCTGCCGCCTTCAGATTTGTGATCAAGGATCTGTTAGTGTGTTTATCATATTTTCTCTTCGCTAATAACACGGTGCTTTCAGTAAAAATGAGTCAGTGAGGGAGGAATGGAGCATTTTGTA